ACGATCGAACCGGGCCGGGAGGGCGGCCGACGACCGGGCGGCCTGGCACGCCGTCGCACCGGCAGCAGATGCGTCAGGTCGGCGACAGGTGGCAGCACCAGAGCGGCGGCTGGTTCCGCCTCGCCGTCCGAGTCACTGAAGCGGCACAGCTCCCGTTTATCGACTCGGTAGCCGTCGCTGATGCCGCGGCTGTCCACGGCGTCGGACGGCGGAAGACGCGGCGCCGCGACTTCCTCCTCTTCAGAGTCGCTGAAACGATACAGATCGGCCTTGTTCACGACGTATTCGTCCGCGACGTCCGCTTTTGGGGGGCTTGGATCCAGGCTCTCCGGCGGCGGCGGCGGCGGCGGAGGGGGGACGGGCTCGCCCTTGCCCACAGCCTCCCGGACACGCCACTCCTCGCGCTTCGACGCGAGCGCCACGTCCAGCTCCTTGAGCAGCTCCCGCGAGCGTTCGCGCTCCAGCCTGCGTCGCAGTCGCTCCTCCCTGGAGAGCACGTCGTCCTCCCAGTCGTCCTCTGCCTGTCCGCCACTCTCCACCACCGCCTCGAAGAATTGGTCGACCAGCTCGGGTTCGGGCAGTTCGACGACGCGCGGCGGCGGGGCGGCCGGCGCGGGCGCCGCCGCCAAGTCGGCCGCGGCCGCCGGAGGCTCGTCCCCGCACAGCCGACTCAGCTGGAGCAGCGTCTGCTCGCAGAACAGCTGGCCCGAGTCGAGCCTCTGCCCGATCTCAGCCAGCTCGCGCCGCAGCCGCTCGTAGAGGGCGCGATCGCCCTGCTGGCCGGCCAGCACCTCCTCCAGGGCGCGCGCCCGCAGCGCCACCACCTGTGCCTGCAGGCACACGCTGTGCACGCCCACGTACAGCCGTTCGGGCTCCGAGCGGGCGGTGGCGGTGGCGGTGGCGGCGGCGGCGGTGGCGGCCGACCGCGGCTCCGGCTCGGCCCAGAGCGCGGCATGTGCGCGGTAGGCGACGCTGAGTCGGTGCTCCTGCTCAGCCAGAACGCAGCTCAGCTCGGCCAGCACACAGATGGGCACAGACGGGCAGCCAGCCTCAGGCGGCAGCAGGTCGACGCTCAGACCGAGGCAGCAGCGACGCACGAATTCCGACTGACACTCAGCCAGCAGTTGCTGCAGCGCCTGCAACACGGCCACGCCGCTCAGCGGCGAGTCTCTCCGCCCGCGGACTGGGCTACTTCCTTGCCGGCACGGGGCGCGCCTGGTCAGAAGCTTTACGGTGGGCCGCAGACCATAGTACAACTTTCTTTTTCGTTTCTGGGCAACACGTTAGATTAAGAGAACATGTGTAACAGACAGCTGCCGTGAACAGTGCTTGTGGATGACCATCCCGACAACTGGCCCCGGCTGTACTGAAGCCATGGAACCACTCCTCCCCATGCGCCACGCGCCGCAGCCGGGCCTCGTTACCTTGACGTCCTTGACGGTGAACGTCTGGTCAGCGAGCGTCACCAGCGCCGGCTCGTCGTTGGCCACGTAGTGTAGCGCCGGGTCGACGCCCTCCATCAGCGGGCTCTCGCGGCGCAGACGGCGCGTCGCGTGGCCATAGGCGCGGCACGCGGCGCGCAGGCAGGCGCCGGCTACCTGCAGCAGCTCGCCGTACTGCGCCGCGAACGCCGCCTCGGCGCCCGGATCGCCGCTCGACCTGCCGGCGGCGCGGCGTCCGTGAATTCATGGTCCCGTAATCGGTTCTCCACACAGCGGCCGGCTTTCAAATGGTAAGTTGGCTTTCATCCGGCGGCCGGCTTGTTTAATCCGGACACGGAACATGGCCGCGGACAAAGGGCGCATCGGGGCCGGCGGCTCGCGGCACTTGAACGGCTCACACACGGCCGCCATGCTCGCCGCCGTCGCCGGCCGGACACAATGCGGCGCGGCCTGGGTCTGGCCAGCGGCGGCCCGCCGTAAGCACCACCGCGCCGGAGCCCGAACAGGGACACCGCGGCGGCGTCCGCGAACGCGGCCCGCCAGCCGCCACCGACGACGAGGAACGGTGTTCGTACGGTCTTATTGTGCTTGTAATTGAGTTCTAAGTGCACGTTTTATGTTGACATGTTCAACAAAAAGCACACAACTTAGTTTCGTTCTTTTAATTTCAGGTATAAGGTTGGCTACATAACGACAGCATAACTGATTCCGCCTCGCAATTCACGAAACGCGGCTGGCAACCCGACCCGCAGAACGACTCGTCAAATTTTCTGTTCGCAACTCCTGTTAATAGTTAACGTCAACAACTGCAGCCACGGGTGGCACTTAACTGGAAGAGACAGGCACGAGACAACGACTTGCCACCACTCGCGAGTGTTTGCAAATCAAGTCCTGATTTGACATTGGATCCGGAGACACCAGGGGTGGGCTCAGCTTGGGGGAGTATACCGCCCACCCAGACAACACCAGGCGCTGCGTGACGACCAGCACGACCGCCAGGCGGCCGGTCTACCACCGCTGGCCGTCAGACGGCGCTGTCGGCCTCACCGGCCCCGCCAGGACGTTCCCAACGCGCCCGTCCGAACCTGCCGGCTCGGCGTCACTCCCGGCCCGCGGCGCCATTTGGCCGACTGGGCGGAGGCCCGGCCCCCGGGCCGCCGACAGGCTGTGCTGCCGGCGGCGCGTCCTTTAGAGCTCAGCTCGCCGCCAAAAGCCGAACAATGCGCGCCGACGGCCGCCGGGCAGGCGCGCCACAATGGCGCTGATCAATGACGGCGGGAGGCACGCGCCGCTCTGACGAGGGCGCACCGGCTGACGACTGACGCGGACGAGTGGCTGACGACCGGCCGGGGCGGTGTGGCTGAGAACTGACGACAGCCGGTCTGCAAGGGGGAACCGCTAGCGACTAACGGCTGACGGTTAACGGGAGCAGACCGGGTGACGACTGACGAGAGCCAGCCGGATGACAACTGAAAATCGAGCGGTTGGCGACTTCCGAAAACTGAGCAGCTGACAACTGAGGGCAGAGTGGCTGACGTCTGACGAGGGCAGAGTGGCCGACGACTGACGAGAGCCCAGCAGCTGACAACTGAGGGCAGAGTGGCTGACGACTGACGAGGGCCGAGCAGCTGACGACTGAGAGGAGCGTGGCCGACGACTGACGAGAGCCGAGCAGCTGACGACTGAGGGCAGAGTGGCTGACGACTGACGAGAGCCGAGAAGCTGACGACTGAGGGCAGAGTGGCTGACGACTGACGAAAGCCAAGCGGGAGACTTTGGAGAGGAGAACGGCTACAGATGTAGGGCAAACGTGTTGAAGCGTCAAGCTAATCGCCTTTTAGGTCTACGCAATGCGATCGTTTTTTATCGCCACGTCAGTCGCCTTTTAGCCCAGCATGCTGTCATCGCTTCCTCGATGATTACAGCGACCTTGCCTTAGTCAGAGGTGGCAACCACCTTTGCGCTAACTCAGTGCGGTTATACGTTAGTGTAACTCAGAGACCGCCGTGAAGTGAAGGATATTTGCGATCACCCCTCTTTCACCTTAGCGGCAGGCAAGTTGCCTCCGCGTTTCGCTGCTGCACACGGAGATGACGCCCACTGAATTGCATTTCCTGCCGTGGCCGATGATGCATAAACCCTACCGTGCCACTCAACGCGCATGGCTTACGATCAGCGATACATTTACAACCGAAGCACATTAATCTCGTGAGCTGTCCGCGCCACCACAACAGCCAGCCATCCGCCACCGACCACACATCTGGGTCGCCTGAGCCGGAACCGCCCGTCGTGCGTGAAACCTGCCTAGTTCAATGAGCATGAGCAACTGCTCCGGGCCACACCATCACACACTTCACTTGCCGAAAAGTAAACTCTGCGGTGATTTGAGGCCAATGCGAATCGAGTGGGACGTCAACACAAAAAAAAAACAACAACCAGAATGGGTTCCCGCAGCGTAGTGGCTGAGCTGCTCATCTGGGAAGCCCGAGGTACAGGGGTTCGATTTCCTGCGTTGTCAACTCTTCTTGTCAGGGTGAAAGACGGGCGACGTCACATAGCCTCAGTAAATGAACGAGTCGTAAATATCCAATGACACACGGCACACAAGAAAACATTTCGTCACCCGTATCTACACAGCCTTAGTAAGCTGTCGTTGCTTTAAAACAAAATCGTTAGCCGTGCTCGTTATTAGCAGCCCACACAACCTGTGTTGCACGATCTGCCTACTGCTTCATCACAAAACACTGCTACATGCCCCCAGCAGCTTAGCTGGCCGAAGGGCCTACCCAGCCCGGTCGGCCGGAGTTGGCGCGCCCGTGCTGCCTTCACTCACAGGGTGACGCCGCGCGCCATAAGGTGCGACTCGTGCAGCAAGCGGACACACTTGAGGCCGGTGCGCTTCAGAGCGGCGGCCGCTCGGCAGAAGGCGCGCACGCGGCGCCGGCCGGCGGCAGCCCGCAAGTGCGCGATGGCAGCGCCACCTGCGCAAGACACAAGCGCCGCTCCCAGCGGCAGCCAGGGGGCCGGCAGGTACACGGCGACTGCCAAGCCTGCCACCAACACCGCCGCCAGAAACGAGCTGCGACGGAGGAATGCGACGGCGTCAGACGCACACGCCGTTCACCATAAGCGATTTCACAACGTTGCATCATTGAAAGATTGTCGTACACTAGACATAGCTATGACCGGTGACAGAACACGCACGTTTGAACCAAGACGCAATGCGTTTGCGAGACTTGGACAAACCGGACCACTTCTCGGCACGCTCCCGCGGCAACGTCACATCAACGGCCGTCTTTCCGTGCTCAAGATCCACCGCTGGGGGCGGGGAGGGGGCATAGAAGGAGAGAGGCGGGGCGGGCTGACGGGCAGCTCACCCGGTGGGGGCGGGGAGGGGGCAGAGAAGGAGCGAGGCGGGGCGGCCTACGGGCAGCTCACCCGGTGGCGCCAGCGCCGGCGGCGCGCGGCCGCTGGTCCGAGCTCAGGTCCGCTGCCATGGCGCGATCGCGGTCGCTCATGAGCCCGGCGTCCAGCAGCGCGGCCAGCGCTTGCGGCAGCAGCAGCGGCCCTGCCCGCAGCCCGAGCCAGTCGAGCGCCCGCACCGCGCCGACCCGCAGCCGCGCCACCTGCCGACGCCGGCTGGGGTGTTATCACGGGCACACTGGGGGAGCACGGCGCACGGGGACTCGTGTGAACACACAGCAGCTGAGACAGACGCCTGCGTGACTTGCCTGACCGGTGATCACCGGCTTGCAGAGTTGTTGCAAAGTTGTTCTCTGCAGAACCATATGCAATGCTGCTTTTATTGGCTTGTAGTTCCATGTTCTCATGAGTGCATTCTTATTCCTTCACAGTTTTGCATTCATTTCAATTCTGTACTACTTTTTTCAGCACATGGTGACGATGCAAAAAAAAAATGCAGCAACCAAGGCACAGGAAACTAGGACTAGAAACAAATGGCAAAAGTTTACATGCAAGTCACGAACATAGTCAATGCCTGTAAGACTGTGGTCTCATCCATCATCAGATCGAATAATGCATAATAACATCATTAAATAACATCAAGACTATCACATAAGATTGGAAATGGGAAAGGCTGACTACCAATGCATCATCCTCAGACATCACATCAAGTCAAACACTGCCAGGCTGCCTGACCTTTTGATGAGACTGCGCCGTGAGCTCAGCTGACTGATCAATGACATCCCCCAAACACGATGCTGACTCGAAATCATTGTATCCGCTGGATACCAGGTGATCGTAAAGAGCCGTATTCTGGAGAGGGGAGACAAGAATATCAGTCAATGGAAGAGTGATAATGTTGGCACTCTTCAAGTGACAACATCAGGTGACAAGCGACATAGAACATCATGCTCACCAAGGCAGCTTTGGAACTTCACTATTTTGTCAACTGTTGCATCTTAACTTGTTCACACGCCAACAGTTTATGCTTCAATCTGCAGAAAAACAGCTTGTACAATAGCATGCATTTTAATCAAACCCACGTACCGTGAAAATCACATCGTCATCTTCATCACCCATGGTACCAGGCAAATGCTGATGGCCTGAGAAAAAGTGAGCCAGTCATGTTATAGGATGCATTTGGTCACATTCTACTTTATCCAAATTCTTCTAGCCAGGGAGACAACAGATCCGCGAGACATTTGGAGTAGGGAAGGCACACAAGAGGGAAGGCCAAAGTTCTCTGCAAATTCTCCACGAGAGTCTTTACGGACGAAGGGAATGAGGCCCTGCCTGTGATGCTTTGCAACTTAAACAGACTGAAAGACGTGAGCACCTCTACCTAGGCAGGGGTAAAGAAACTCGCCTCACTGAAATGGCCCAGAGCCCTGTACCAGACGGTGTACATCCCCCTGGTTTCTTCATAAACTGACAAATGCCCTGGAAGTACACCTCAGCATGATTTTTTTTCAAATTTCATTGGCATCTGGAAGGCTCCCCCAGCAATGGAAGCTGGGTGAGGTAGTCCCGATCTTCAAGAAAGGTAGCTGACAGTCTCCAGCGAGCTAGCATCTAGTCAGCCTTACTGCTGTTCCTTCCAAAGAGATTGAATCCTTTGCCAGAGATGGCGTACTTAAACACTTCTCAGAGACGGATCTCCTTCATGTTCTCCAACGTGGGTTTCCCCCGAAGCATTCCTGCTACACCCGTCTATAAAGGTCATGAAAAAGTGGAGCGCCACGGAAGGGGATCGGGGGCCGGTGGACGTAATGCACACTGACTTCAGCAAACCTTCGACTTGGTACCTCACAACCGACAGCTTGTCGAGCTTCGTGCTTACAGTGTGACAGGCGGTCTACCTGTGTTGAATCAGATCCTTACTAACCAAGGAAATGCACAATGCCGAGGGGACCAGGGCTCGCAGTCTGACTGGACCGACGTCGCAGGGGACCAGGGCTCGCAGTCTGACTGGACCGACGTCGCAGGGGTCCAGGGCTCGCAGTCTGACTGGACCGACGTCGCAGGGGACCAGGGCTCGCAGTCTGACTGGACCGACGTCGCAGGGGACCAGGGCTCGCAGTCTGACTGGACCGACGTCGCAGGGGTCCAGGGCTCGCAGTCTGACTGGACCGACGTCGCAGGGGTCCAGGGCTCGCAGTCTGACTGGACCGACGTCGCAGGGGTCCAGGGCTCGCAGTCTGACTGGACCGACGTCGCAGGGGTCCAGGGCTCGCAGTCTGACTGGACCGACGTCGCAAGCGGCATCTCTCAAGGATTGGTGCTGGGATCGAAGCTGTTTTATCCTTTTCGTTCACGATATACCACATCGAGTGCGAAGCGCGGTTAAGATGTTCGCGGATGACACTACGGTGTACTGCCATGTTCCAAGGTCAATAACTACCTCTCCTCTACCGACCGACCTCGACACCCTGTTCAAGTGGTCGGAGGAGTGGTTGATCCCATTCAACAAGTCAAAATGTAAAGTAATACACATCGGCACCCGTAACCCGAGACCGGTCTTCTTCCTGAACGGCATCGAATCGCAGTCGAGCACACAGAAAAATAGATCGGAATCTTCGTGGACCACATGCCCAAATTGCAATAGACGGCACAGGCGGTTTTAACCCTGGTCGACCACACGCTAGCGGTCATTCGCCAACATCGCCGTTTTCATGCTGCCACTGCTGCAAAGGATCATGGAACACACATTTTTAAGGTGTAGCACCAGCATCTGGGGCTATCTGGCAAACTGGATCAGGTCAGGCTGGAGCGGGTTCAACGACGAGCTACGCATCTTGTCCAAGAATTGAGGTACCAGCCACATTCTGACAGGCTCTGACTCCCCCAGCTGCCTTAACTGTGTGGCTGTCATCACAGGGGAGACATGGCTGCAGTGTTCCAAATGTTTCACAGAGGCACACTTTTCACAAACGTTTCCTACTAGTTAGGTATGAGTTCATGACAAGCAACATTCCCTGGGAGGCAAGAGGACACCAATGGAAGCTAGAAAAACCTCAAGCTGGAGCCCTTGTCCCTTAGAACTCAGCACCTGGATTGTAAATGTTTGGAATGCTTTTTCACCTGCAGTAGTATTGTCAACTGCAGTTGAGCGGCCTAAATCTAGCCCTAGGCGTGGTAACGTTTCAAGAAGTGTGTGGGGGGGGGGCAAGCTCAGGGTGTACTTCAGCAACTTTCTCTGGAAAGCGAGCCCGATGATCCGGGGGTAGGGGGGGGGGGGGAGGGGACGGGTAGTGATGCAGGTTGTTATCGCTTTTTATTCGAATGGCATGGCTACTATGCTAGACATGCATCTGGAGCTGTTCTCACCGTGCACAACATTGCCTGTTCGAATGATCTGTCATTTGGCAAATAAGGCTATCCAGCTTCCTAAGATTATTCGTCCATTTTAACGCCATCTTTCCTGGGGAGGCGAAATTCCACGAGCGGGTAGGCATTTTGGGTCACTGAGGAAGCATCTGCCTCCGCAGTGTAAATGCCAAAATACGGCCTGGATATAGGCTGGTGAGAATACTGAAAGCGGATCGATGGCTCACAGTGCGACAAACTTTTCATCGCCTTCATTTCGCTGACTGTTTTTCAAGAGATAAGACCTGTAGTAGCATTTTAGGCGGAAACCAATTCGGGAGCTTGAAACTACCAGAAACAATGTGATTTAAGTCATACGACTAGAGATTCTCTTCTAAGAACCGATCCACATAATAAGGTCCATCTGTCATATGTTGCTATCTGGGCCCTGCTCCCGTCCGCCGTCGGTGGCCGCTGCCCTGGCCCGCATGTGTCCCGCATGACTGACTGCGAACTGGTCGCATGGCTGCTTTGATGCATACTTTTGGATCAGTGCTACCACTACATGGTATATGAAACATGTGTTAGACACCTGCAACCGCGTCTTTTCTTCAAATTATCTTCCCTTGCGCCACACCATCGCAGAAAAATAGCCTCCGGAAAGCTGTCTGCCTTAGGTATGAAATGACCCAACGGACATTTCATTGCCCATCATGCAACGTATACAACTTGATCTGCTTTTGTGTGTAGGCAGGGGCGTAGCCAGGGCCTTGCCAAGGGGGAACACAAGGTTGACAAAAGCTCATCTCATGGTGATCCAACCTCCCCCCCCCCCAAAAAAAATCCCGGGATATAGCTTACTTGTTAACAAGTGACACAGTTTTCTTCGCTTTATTGTTATTTTTAAGTTGTAACCAGAACAGAAACCAGGAGCTACCGTGGGCTTAATTCTGTTTGTATTTTGAGGTAAAAAAACCGCAGAAATCTGGTGTTGAACGGCTGCATGGAATAAATCACAGGCACTTTTAACTTGCAATGGTTAGTTGACTTTTCTACACCGAGAGAATTCAGAAGCTTTGTCAGAATTTTCTAAGCTGGGTTCTACAGACATTAAGGACATCGCCAAGGTAGATCGAAGATCGATATGTTTGATCCAAATTTGAAGATGAAAATTTGATTGCAGATCGAGTGGTCAACAATGTGCATTAACATGGCCAAGCCATATTTGTCTGAAAACGTTCACCATTCAGACAGAATCCATTAGTGATACAATTTATGTAACAGGTTTCTTAACATACGCGCTCGCAAATCTTAGCAACATAAACCTCCATACCCGGCGTTGCAGTCTCCATAGTCCGCTGAGCGTTCGTCCAGTAGCTAACTCTTAGTTGGGCTCACCGGTGGACGAACATGATGACGCTACTGAAATAATAACCTTTAAACACTTTACTCGACTGGTAATACAAGTCATGTGACATCATTTTCAGCATGCGCACTCGAAAATCTTAGGAACACAAGCCCCGACGTCAGGCGTTGCGGTCCCCGTAGTTCGCGCAGCGTCGGCTTAGCCGCCAACACTAAGTTGTGGCCAACGGATGGACGAAAAAGACGACGCTTCAGAAAAAAAGCATCCTTGAACGCTTCATGACACCAGATCTTACATTTACAGGGCAGTCAAAGCACATGTTTCACATGTGCAATTTTTAGACTGATGAAAAGAGCAGATCAGCCCTTAAAGCACTGCGAGGTGGGGCTGGAATCTGGTGGTTGAACTGGAAGAGTAAAGGTAGAATCTCTATTTTTCATGTTTTTGCAGCTATTTATCTATCCAGAAGACAGATTAACACGGCGCCCGCCGTCTGGTGGCACTTGCAGCGGCCGAAACTTTTCGGTTTTACGGAAGTTGCGACCCAAACCACCTTTGTTCTTGCTCTCGAGGTTGCAGGCAGGCATGCTCAAGCCTTTTGATGTTATTTGTTTCAATAATACATTCGGAAAAAGACAAACATTCTCAGGCAAACATGGCATAACTGCTCATTTTTAAAGCTCATTTAGACCCACCCTATTCAACAATGAGACCTCTAATCTCCTCAACAATAATGACTCCTTATTTCCTCCCAGGCAAGGGGCTTCTTGAGTAGAACACCAGGGGAACACCTTCAACCTTGACCATTTCAGGTCAAGGGCTGAAGGGCCAATCTGTCCCATTGTGAAGCGTCTTTTGGCTACCATTCTGTTGACATGGAGTGGGATCTCTTGGTCTATGAGGAGGCCATTAGAAGGATATATCATATCACACTGTTCCCATCCCTGACACTGGAGGCCTTCTGACCCGCGCAGTTAGCCCCAGATCAACACAGGAACCCTCATTGACCTGACAACATCCCTGATCACTGCAGGCCATCCAATAATTGTAACAGACTCCAGTTCTGTGTTTTTCTGTGTTCCTCATAGATATGAAGTTCTCCCTGACCATAGACTGTGAATGAAATCAGGTTCCTAACTTGTATTAACATGGCTAACCCATGCTCATCTAAAAATGCTCAAGATCCTGTCAAAACTGATCACTGACAGAAAACTGTGCAATGTGGTCTTGACACGCCACTCGCGAGTCAAAGTAACAACAGCCTCGACGCCCAGCGCTGCAGTCTCCAGGCCTTGCCGCATGGGCTGTACGGCTGTAACACCATGCGATGGCTTATGAGCAAACAAAAAAGATAATGCATGTAAAGGGATATGGGTGGTGAACCAGGTAAATTGTCATGAATGTTTCATGAGTGAGCAAAAGTAAGCCAAATGCAACCTTAATCTGAAAAGTGGGGTGGGGGGCAGTTAACATTGCTGCCCCCCCCCCCCCCCCATGGACCCCCTGTTCCTACACCCATGAATTTAACCTTCAACTCACACTGATACCATGCACAATATTCCAATGCAAACACATTCCTTAAATGAGATTGTCCAGTTACAAGAACAGGAGGTCAAGGATATTGAGATGGACAGTCAAACATCATCTTTAGAATTTCTGATCACTATAAGGCAATATAAAATGAATGATTAATGACACAAGATCAATTAAGTTGCTACCCTTGCCAAGCATGCATCAACAGACAGTGGCAGTGCCACATACCTTTAACTGGTGGCAGACATTTCCAGGAGGCCTCCTATATGTGCAATATTCAAGGGAGGAGCACCAGTGGTAGATGCAGTGTCAAATCTATTGTTCTTTAAACTCAAACCCAGACATTTTACCTACCGGCTCAGCCCATTTATCCAGCCTCAAGCTGAGGCACCTGGATGTTGGGTTGGCCACTGCCAGTCTCATGCTGACTGGATGATTTTGGGTAAGGGTAGGGAAACAGGCAGTGAACTGGACCCAGGGGTATAAGCACATGAACAAATATTGACATTCACATGACAGACAAGACCAGATAATGAAACACTTAAAGGTGAAAAAGGGGCTTCCTCACTAACACAAGGTGGATTTCTGATCTGGCAAGAGGTTTCTGGATGATGAAACAGGGTTTCCTCTCCATAAAAGCCTTCTTATGCACTGAGGAGGCTCTAAGTCAGAACAGGATCCTTTCAAGTAGGCATCCCTATCCAGCAATGGACATCATTACCACTTAATAGGATGCCCTGATACCCAGTAGTGGCCTTTTGACAAAAGAGCAGCATTTCAAAATTGGTTGTTGCTCTAGGGGAGCGAAAACAAAATAGTAAAATCACAGCTCATGTCAAGAACAAAATAAGTCTTGCAAGTTTGCATAATATATACAGGCACTGCAGGACCATCCTTTATCAGTAGCTGAAAAACAAATATCTCTCACTAGCTGGTCTCAGAAATTGCCAGACAGCTGAATATCAAGTTGTAATCCTCAGTTTCTAGCTTGCAGCAGCACAGCTAGAAGGAAATGCACATTCTAAATTAAAATGTGTATTTGATCCAGCATGTGTCCTTTCAAATTTGGGGAGGGGCTTTAGAGCAACTTTAGGAGGACTGGAGCCCCCTCCCCAACGACGAAACAGCAAGCTAACCCCTGACGCCACAGACCCCCGCCTCTCACACACCGTACCTGACACCGCCCAACGCCCCCGCGGCTGCTCCAGCAGTGAAAGCCCATCAATACGACGTCATATTTAGACGGTATGTCGACCAGTTGACAAACAGTAGCAAAACCTTGAGCAAAACCCACCTCCCAAAACAATCGCTGGTTGATTCGTCGGGATGGCCTTGATGCGTCAATATCGTGCCATCCGTGTTGATCCGTGTGGTGCGGACCTGTCTGTTGTAGTTGCGATGTTTTCGAGGTGAGGTGATACGATATGCTTAAGAGGCGTCTGTTTTGATTAATTAAGACGTATGATGTCTTAGGAACGCCAGTTCAGAAACAATCTGTGCTGCAACAGAAGGGACTAATGTAGACCATTACTGTACCTGTTCCATTGTAATTCTTATTCAATATAGTTGTTGGGAGAAAAGCGAGAGCACATTAGATCCCATTCCCAGGTTATGCATTCACTGCCAGTGTGGAATTTGGTCATACAGTAGTCTCACTGGTCTGTGTAAATGGTGGTATGTGTATTGTTTTGATGATTATTTGATTTCAGGTTGCCACAAGAGCACAGCCAGCTAATTACCCAAAATGTGGATGTGGGCAGAATTCCTATTTCTGCTTCTTTCAGCATCTCAAGTTGCTGATGGTGTAAAACAGATCAGAAATGTTCTCTTTCTGGTTGGTATGTATAGTCAGGCTGGCTGCATGGAGGGCAACCTGTTGATGGTTAATCCATTTTTGAGTGTTTACAATGGCAACATGGATGAGTTATTGTGCAGATTGAAAGAAATAGTTGTCAAGGCACCTGCCATCTTTTTGCATTCTTAGGTTTTAGTGAACATGGGCAGTTGGCTTACACAGCTTGATTATTCCTGCAGGGGCACTGGCTTTGGCCGGTGCAGGGGACTAATGCCCTCTCCGGTCCCAGCTCCGGTAACAGGCGGACAGCGCAAGCTGTTCTTCTTAGGGCGTAGTGACCTTGCTGGTACGTGAGCTCCGGCTCCTTGCCCCACCTGCTCCCTTTCCATTGCCCGCCCTCCCGCATCCGGCCCACCCATCACTCCTAAGCCTCGTTTTATCGGGGTCGCCGTGCCCCCTCGCCCGCGTCCCCGGGTTGATCGGATCCTGGTGGCTGAGTGGCGTGTCGTGCGGGTCAGTCACGGCGCGTCCCAACACTCCACTTTTGCTAGGATATCCGGGGGCGCTCGCGCTTCGACTGGGCGCTCCGTGCGGGTCTCCGCTTGGGGTGCCTGGCCGTGCGTAGCGGCTTTAGGGGTCAAGGGGCGGCGGCGCTGAACCACGGTCAGGACTGAGAGAGGTCTTCCCGGCTGCGCCTGGCCGTGTGGGAGGCATCGTTCGCCCCGTATAGCACCGGGTAGCCCTGGCGGCGACCACCTCCCGAGGGAGTGCTGGACTGTCCCCCAGTTGGGCTCCGTGGTGGGTGGGGAGCCCCCGTACCGAAGCTTCACTGAAAGTTGCATGACATCTTATAACCAAAAAAACCGCCCGATCCCCGAAAGGGGAAGAACCACGTTGATAACAGAAAGTAGCGGGGAATCTTCACCATCCCCCCAAATGTTGGTTTTCCAAAGTGATAAGACGAGGCTCTCGTCTCTCTCGTCGTTTCAGTGGAAGAACGGGTGTGATCGATTTGGAAATGTGGTTCGGTGCGACAAATTGCGTGATGGAGGGTTAGAGGTAGACTTCGTCAGCGGGGCAGAGGCTGATCGTGCGAGGGCTGCGGCCGAATTCACGTGCTGCGTTCGGGACAAGGATGGTAAACGAGACGTTTCTGTGCCTATCCGAGTAACACCACACCTGACAAAAAACGCATTGAGGGGAATAATTGACTGCTTCGACTTGCGTGACGTTAGTGAAGAAGAGATCGCTGACGAGCTGTCGGCGTGACTGCTGCACGGAGGATCTCCATTACAAAATGAAGTGAACAACTGCCGACAAATAACACCATCTTGATTTTCAATCGCCCGGATCCGCCTTCTGAAATACGCGTTGGATGCGCACGTGTCAAGGTACGCCTTTTCATCCCGCACTCCATGCGATGCTTCCATTGCCAGCGATCTGGCCATACCAAACAGTACTGCCGCAACAAGTCTGCTTGTGGGAAATGCGCTTCTTCCGAGCACACAACGGAATTCTGCGATTCAGGGAAAGTGTGTTGCGTTAGCTGTAACAAAGACCAGGCTCTGCACACAACTTGCGACCGCATGTTCCCAGCTTACGTGAAGTAAAAAAAAAATATCGGTTAAGACCACTTGCAACATCTCTTTTCGCGAGGCCGGAACACTGACGAGAGCCACACTCGAGCATCATAAGCCGAAAAAGGTAAGATCTTCACTGCACGTCCGACTTGCACTGATCAAATGACTGCTGCGCAGTTTGTTGTGCTCTTGAAGTCTTGGTCTCTCGGTTGTATCGACGAGCCGGGCGCTGGGCTCTAATCTGGCAGCCCGGGTTCCGCCGTCCTTACTGGAGCGGTCGAAAGAGATCATGCTGCCAACCTCCTCGCCCCCCCCCCCCGCGGGGTTCGCCGTCTTTGGTAGGAGACGGTAGATGGACGGTGGTTCGGCGTGACCGGGGTGACCAGGCGCTGTCGGCTGCCCCTTTGTCTGCCAGCCCGACAACTAAAGCAACCTTGGCGAGCGCGTGCTCGTGAACGGCAGGGACGCTAGAGCGTCACGAGGCAGACAGGCGCGCCCGTGAGGCAAAGCGGGCACGCCTGGCAGACCAGGAGCGTGCCAAGGCAGCCAACCGGCTGTCTGGAGCAGACCAGGTGACCGCTCCAACGAGGGAGGCCCTCCTGCCGCCCCGAAAGCGTGTGGAAGCTCCCGCAGGCCCGTCCGACCCGCGGAGAGACCCGCCTATGGGTCCTCTGCCATCACCGCCACCTAGGACCACGACGTCGCGGGCGCCGGCCCCGTTTAGGACGGGGCGCCCGGAAAAGCGTGGTCCGCTACGGCCGATTTCGCCAACAGATGGCGTTAGCCCCATGATCCGCCCGATCTCTTTGGGAACGGGTTCTGAAGACAGACCAACAACTATGGGGCGGGCTCCATCGCTGATGGGTTCTTTTGAAACATTACAGTGCTTTTAAAGCCCCCCTCATTCAGCTGGTCTTACAGTGAAACTGTGGAGGTGTAACCTCAAGCACACAGGACTTGCAATTTTTTAGTTCTAGTTTCAGACATTTCTTAGACGATTTTTAGTTTTAGACAGTTTTAAGCGCGCACTGCCCGGTAGCCCTGTATCTCCAGGAGACGAAGTTGGCGCTTGATGCGGCCTTCAGCCTGAAAGGGTGCACTACCTTCCGCACTGAAATGCAACAGACACCGTTGCTTACGGTGGCGTTCTGTTAGCTGTTCACCAAAGAGCACCTACACAGCGTCTGGTATTAAGAACAGACTTGCGAGCCGTCGCAGCAACGGTGAATTTCAACCGCCGCACCACAACTGTCTGCTCTCTCTACTTACCACCTGGGGCCTGGTTTTCATGTGGAAGACGACGAGAGTGAGTCTCTCAACTTCCTCCCCTCTGTTGGTTTTAGGCGATTTTAATGCACTTCATACTGGGGGGGGGGGGGGGGGATGCTGCAACAAACACTCGCGGTAAGTTATGTGAGGCCTTTTTGCGTGACGAAGGTTTATGTGCTTAACATACAGGAGGAAGAACGCATTTTACATTGCCATTAGTACGATCGTCAGTGCTAGACCTGAGCACTTGTAGTCCGCAGTTAGTACCGCACTTCACTTGTTATGCTTCAGAGGACCCCTCGGAACTGACCATCTTCCGGTCTGGGTTCGGTACCGTGATCCACTTTTTGCGACACAGGCCGCGATGCGAAATTTCGCAAGTCAATTTTCATACGATTGACATACTGGCATACAACAAGCATTTCACTATGAGGGAACTTCAAGCGGTCATTCGCTCACTGCGTAGTGCTATGGAGGGGCCCGACCCCAGTCACAATGACATGGACGGCATTTTCTTCCCCGCATACTACGAGCGCTGCTGGCACTTTTCAACTGGATGTGGGAGTCAGGTAGCTTCTCGCCAACCTGGCGAGAGGCCATAGTGGCGCCTATTTTAAAGCTTGGGAAAAGTGGAATGAACGGCCTCGACGATCGCCCGATCGCCCTTACATCTTCACTTTGTAAGTTCATTTAAAGGATGGTGAATGTGCGGCTTTCATGGACTTTAAAACGTCAAAACTTTTACGAATGCTCGGTGTGGAATGAGTAAAAACAGGGGCACGATTGACAACATCTTACTTGATACCGCAGCACGGGCCGGGTTATTCGTGAACGTCATACCAGTGCCATCTTTTTTTGACGTAGAGGAAGCTTATGATACCACATGGAGACATGGGATTTTGATGAAGTTATTCGATTGTGGCATCCGCGGTCGCATGAAATTTTTTTTACAAAACTTTGTAACCGACTGATTCTTTCGGGTGCGTGGTGGCTATTGTCACTCCGACAGGTATCTGCAGGAAAATGGTGTCCCTCAGGGCAGCGTATTATGTGTCATTCTTTTTGTAGTGATGATAAACGATATAGGGGACACACTTCCATATGGGATCAGTCGTATCTTGTTCGTAGACGGCTTTGTTATTTGGTGTAGCTCATCGACCAATCGCACGATGAAACAGCTGCAGCTGGCGGTCACACGTTTGAAGGAGTGGAGTGCTCTCAATGGGTTCCGGTTTTCCACATTGAAGACAACCGCAGTTCATTTTTGTCGGCCTCGCCATCACTGTCCTGAAATGGGAATTAGGCTGTATGGGCAACACTTTGCCATTGAGAATACCGTGAAATTTCTCGGCATGCGATTTGACCGACGCTTTACATACCGGGAGCTCATAAGAAGTCTCCGCGACAAATGTTTAAAATCCTTTGACATCCGAAAATCCGTGGGACGTACGTCATACGGTGTTGATAGGACGCTCTTCTCCTATACCGTTCGCTGATTCGTTCAAAACTTGACTACGGCTGTTTCAGCTATAACTATACTTTGAACACGGTGCACCACGCCGCACTACGTATCGCCACGGGGGATTTTCGAACATCGCCCACAGGTAGTCTTCTTGTGGAGGCCCACGAGCCCCCACTAGCATTGCATGGCAGATGCTGGGACTGCGCTACACGTGCAAGCTGGCGCAGTTCCCAGATCATCCCGCCTACAAAGCAGTGTGTTCGCGTAGCTTACGAAGACTGTTTCTACTTCAACGGTCACCACAAACTTCTCCCTTTGGTGTACGAATGTGAGAACTTCTAGACGCGAGCGGCTTCAACCTACGACATGTCATCAGACCTAAACTAATGAAGACTGCTCCTTGGGGGGCAGTCTTCGCTAAGAGTGGATGTTTCGTTATCAAACATGCAAAAGCAACGCGTTCTCATGACGGAACTTAAAGACGCAGCCCTAGAGCACATAGCCTTATTTGACGGGTACGTGATGATTTATACGAATGGTTCAAAGACGGATGCAGGTGTAGGGTGCGCTTTTGTGTGTGGATCCACAACACGGTCATTCACATTGCCTGCACACGCGTCGGTCTTCCCTTCCGAGCTTATAGCTATTAGCAAAGCTCTCTGTTTCATTTAAGTTGACGATAGCAATTTGCGTTTGATTCTTTCCGACTCCTTGAGCAGGCTCCTTGCTGTTGATGGCTTCTCCTCGTCCAATCCACTGATCCAGGACATTCGATCGTGTCTTAGCTCGCTGGATTGAGCAGGAAAACGTCGTACTGCGTTAGATCCCAAGTCACGTGGGGATTTGCGGAACTGATATTGCTGCCGCGGCAGCAAAGCGCGCTACGACAGGGACACGCATTCATACACCACTACCAGCTTGAGACACGTACCCCGCAGTGTCGTCGTTTATGCAGAAGCGATGGCAGTTCCACTGGAACTCGCTGAGCGCCAACGAGCTGAAGTCCGTGAAACCCCTTATTGGACTATGGCAGTCGTGTTTTCGCGACAATAAGAGGGAGGAAGTTGCCGTTTGCCGGTTACGCATAGGTCACACATATGTCATGCACCGTCACCTGTTCTTGATCGGCGACAGACCACGCTGCAGTCGATGCTCTGACCCGCTGACCGTGCGTCACGTGCTCGTCGCTTGCCGTCACCTGTTCTTGGTCAGCGACAGACCACGCTGCAGTCGATGCTCTGACCCGCTGACCGTGCGTCACGTGCTCGTCGCTTGCCGTCACCTGACTGCAGCGAGAGCGCCGTTTTTCGGACACGACGTCCAGAGCCGCCCGCTAGGTCACTTTTTAGGGGATTGTTCGCACGCTGCCGAATTTGGTAAAGTGTTCCAGTTCGTTCGCGCTGTAGACTTCCCAATAATCTTTTCATCATGATACTAGGCCTGATCATCAAGGCTTTTTACGGTGACCTGATTGATGCACTTGTCTGATTTGCGGCTGTGCATAAAATGGCAGCTATGGGCGCTGAATAACCCACAGCGGTCGATGCGCCCCAAAATCCCAAATCATTATCATCATCATCATGTTAAACATGCAATTACAAACTTCACAAAGGGTATACAAAACTAGCAGACGGTATATGGATCTCTAAAATTTGGTACTTATCTCTATTGGATGAGGCACAAATTTGGTACCAATGTCTTTTGTACGCTGGATTCAATAAAATGTCTTCCAATGTTTCAATTTACTTTCATATAAGATCTTTTTTAACTGTTCCCTATCTCAATGCTAGAACCATAGTTACAAGAAACTACCTGAATCTGAATTGGAGGTGAAGCTAGGCTTCCTGTTTCGAAGCTGAATCCAAGCAGAAAGTAGTGGCGGGAAGTTGAAGCGTAAATCAGTGGCCTTGAAGTCTGAAATTGCAAAGTCTTTGATTTTGATACTCAGGCTGAAGCCAGTGGCTTCATGTTTTGGAAATGTGAAGCTGAATTTGAAGCCAGCAGTTTCAGAGTAGCTGTACATACAAAGCCAAAATCAGTGACATCAAGCTTAATAAACGCGAAGCCTAAACAGACCCCACCGGTTTAAAGCCTCAATGATGAAACCAAAGCTTATTTTACGGCCTTTTGTGAAACAAAAAGCATTTTACCGCTGCTAAAATTGTATGGCATTAGACAAAATCAAGGTTTTAAAGAGTGCTTGGAACAGAGTCACAGATGGCGGATTATAGGTAAAGGGTTGTGATGAATTCAACCATTATGAATTGGAGATTTTTCAAACTTCCGTCTTTGTGTTTGCGTTAGTATGCACCCAACATATCAGATTGTTAGTTTTCCGGTCTGGATCTGGTGTTTACATGTGCCTGGGTGGCCGGTTGGATACCCTTCACTCAGGTGGGAGGGGGAGTCAATTTGACTCCCCTGAGATCTCAGGAACTAAGGGAGTTAGAGACACCAAATTCACATGGTGTGTTGGTCTGTATGTAAACTCATTTAAGGTCCAGTTTGAGGTTCCTAGGCAATGACCTTTGGGTCAAACAAGGTCAAACAAGGTCAAACTCCAGGTTGGTTTTCATAGTGCCCCCTGAGCCTGTTCTAAGCAAAAGGTCACGGGCCCATTTCATGTCAGCGGCCTTTTGACCTCTTGAAGGCCATGGTGACCAAAATAATGCAAAACTGCTACGGGTTTTGCATTTGAACAGGCAACAAAGATTATGCCGGGCGGTGTGCTCCTAATAACACAATGTTTGCCTAGGCCATTTTAGGTCAATGACCTATTCTGACCTTTAGGAAGTTCAGGGAGGATGTTGAGTGTGGTTTCAGTTATCAATAAATTTGAAATGAGCATCAGAAACCGCCCACACAGCGAGCCCCAGAGTAATAAATCAGGTTGGTTTTGACCCTGGTCTGACTATCATACCTGACCCCAGGTCAATGGAATTTGCTCATTCAATTGTTGTGTGGTTTAAGAAAGTACCTCAGATATGTATGGCTTCGTCTGCACTTCGTTATTGCATCATTTTCAATGATTGCCTAGAAACTTACTTCGCTGAACCCATGGCCTGACTTTGGCCTGTCGTAGGTCAGCTACCTTATTAGGTACATCTATATTTTTGATACTAAACTATTAACTATTCAATCGTCTACAGCCATGCAAAATTGGGCCCGGCTACACCGCGCGGTTCGGAAACCATTCTGGAAAAACCTTCGGGGGTTCAATTTGACCTCCCCGTTTAAGCGCGTGTTACTAGCTCCTAAGAATTTCTTGCTGTTTTTCTATCAGCTGTATATGCTTTGCTATTGAGAAAAAATGTGCGTTGGATTCGTGTGACAGAATCGGCAAGACGGTTTTTGTAACTGCAGTGAAACAAAATCACGTTACAAGCCCGAAGCTGGCCAGGCATTTCAAATCGCACAAAGCCTATGTGATGGTCATTGTTATATTTTCGAAGCCGTACCCGAAACTAGCGGTTGAAAATGTCACAACCCCGAAGCCGAAGCTAACTGCAGACGAGAAGCCTAAGCGGAAGCCAGCATTGCAAAATGTCGCACTTTGTACGGCTATGAAGTCCCGAAATACCTGTATCTAGTGGTCACCCACGCGTACACGTGTTTAATGTCCTTGTAAAAATGGGTTATCATTGATAAGTTGCATACCTTGGCTCATTTTTTTTCTGATGTATGGCATGCTGGTGGTTCTGTAAATGCGTCAAAAGCTTCATGTTAGACGAATGATATTTTGGCATGTTCCATGATCAGTGATTCTCATAGGACCATGGATCAACTTTTAACCCATGCAGGATAAGTGGCCGAGGAGGCCCCACCCCAAGGTTTTACCAGGAATAACTGGTGGACAGCTGAGTGCGTGGTGACACCGACTTTGATTTGCTGAGCCTGTATGAGGAGCTCGCCATCATGCAGCACTGATTTGTTCTTCAGCGGACGATGCCGGCTTTGAGACAGCCGCCTATGGAAACAAGGTGTGCAAAACACCCCATCTGGATCACCTGGCGTCACAAAGTGTGATATTCGACAACGCTTTCACTTCTGTCAGCAGCTGCTCGCCAAGGTAAGACGAAGCTTCCATGATATGACCTCCTAGGCCACGTCTTTTCCCCTGGGGCAGCATTGCTGCCAATGGTGAAAACGTGTCGTGTTTTATCCCGGGCCTCATTGATGTGGACCCCATTTAAATGAGATCACTCCTTGTGCTTCTACCGCCTCCGATTCTCCCTCCTTAACGCTCGTTTGCTGGCTCCTACATCACTGCTTCACTCAAGTGTCGTGTGTTACACTGAAAACAGGCGGCAGGAAGTCTCAAACCCACTTCCTTGTGGCTAGAATTAAAAACCGCATGACTAACCTTCAACACCCGGTAATTTATAACGGCGAAGCTGCTCATTAAATACCTGTATGTATGTCTCTTACATTGGAGCATCCAAATATCTCTGACATAAAAAGAGTGTGTGTGCAGAAGTATGCTGGCGCGCACTAGCGTATACAGCTCCCAGTGGCCTGAAAGGCTCAGCCTTGAGACATGCTGACTTGCCATCTAACTGAGAGGCGTGCTTAGGGTGGACAGGACGTGTCCCGTCTTTTGTATGGGGGGGGGCTGACTTGACATTGGGCCATCCGGGTCAAGTGCAAACAGATAACGTCGGACGGTAACGTCGAAACAAACCAGCTCTAATAACCGCGGCTGACCCGTCGCCGTAAAACTCAGCCACTGCCACTTGTAGGTGCGGTCTCCGAACGTTGGCGTGGCCCGCGGGGAGAGGGGGCGGCGCAGTGACGTGACAGTAGGCCGCAGGTGCGGTCTCCGAACGCTGGCGTGGCCCGCGGGGAGAGGGGGCGGCGCAGTGACGTGACAGTAGGCCGCAGGTGCCGTCTCCGAACGCTGGCGTGGCCCGCGGAGAGAGGGGGCGGCGTGACGTGACAGTAGGCCGCAGGTGCCGTCTCCGAACGCTGGCGCGGCCCGCGGGGAGAGGGGGCGGCGGAGTGACGTGACAGTAGGCCGCAGGTGCCGTCTCCGAACGCTGGCGTGGCCCGCGGGGAGAGGGAGCGGCGGAGTGACGTGAGCGACGCGACAGTAGGCCGCAGGTGCCGTCTCCGCACGCTGGCGTGGCCCGCGGGGAGAGGGAGCGGCGGAGTGACGTGACAGTAGGCCGCAGGTGCCGTCTCCGAACGCTGGCGTGGCCCGCGGGGAGAGGGGGCGGCGCAGTGACGTGACAGTAGGCCGCAGGTGCGGTCTCCGAACGCTGGCGTGGCCCGCGGGGAGAGGGGGCGGCGGAGTGACGTGAGCGACGTGACAGTAGGCCGCAGGTGCGGTCTCCGAACGCTGGCGTGGCCCGCGGGGAGAGGGAGCGGCGGCGTGACGTCTCACCGCGGTGGTTGGTGCTGGCAGCCGCTCGGCGATCCTGTCTGGGCTGCCGTCGCACCAGAACGGCATGTACGGCCTGCACCAGTCCGTACATCACTTCAACTCGTTCGACGGGCTGCTGAGTCTGCCGGCGCTGCTGCGCGCTCACGGCCTGACGACGGGTGGGTGCCGCCGCCGCGCCGGTCTGGTGGCGCTCCGGTCACAGGGACTTCCGGCGCTGGTTGCACTGGATGTGAGCTGGATCACGGACGTTACACTGCCGCCCAAGCTCACATGGAAAAATGGCGTCGTACTTGACGCGCAAGGCTTTGAAAATACTCGGAACAAATGTTTGCCAGGCATCGTGGGCTTGGAATTGAAAGTCGCCTCCCCGTGTTTTTGCTCAAGAAGTTATGTCATCGACTCGGCTCTCGGTATTCTGATATTCTAAGTGCCGTTCAAATACTATTTGTCGTATGTCATGGTGAGACGGTTTGTTTGAGTCTTTCTTCATCGCAAAACTGGCCGCTTCAGTTGTCGGAAAAGTCGTTTGGCAGTCGTAAGCGGTTGCCAAACTGGTGGTTTGTACCTCTGAATGGCCTCATTGCAGGTATCGTGGGAAAGAAGCACGTGGGCCCTGGTTGGGTGTACCCGTTCGACTTCTCGTACACTGAAGAAGACGGCCACTCAATCCTTCAGGTGGGACGTAACATCTCCAGGATCCGGCAGCTAGTCAGGAGGTTCTTCACCACTGCTGTGGATAGGTGAAATGACAAGGGAGCTCATAGAACTAAGCTCGTCAGGGTGCTGATAGCGAAAATGGTCGGGAATGGCTGTTCAGAATCCAACTCATTATGTCACGTCACTTGTGACGTTTGGAATGGGTCGAGTAAATACATCCGCCTAGCTTGCTCCTGTTACTTAGAATGGCGTCATTGCCCCACGCTACCTCCTCGTCATTTGTTCCTCGCCTCCGTGGCTGACTCAGCGCAGCACTGGTCGAGATCATCAAACACTTGTGGAAGAGGCACGCCTCTGTCACGTCACCCCGCTGCCCCTATCTCTGCCCCTCTCCCTGGCTGGCATGTGACTCGGTCGGCCGCCGGTCCCAGCCGGCCCTGGTTCCTGTACGTGGGCTTCCACGACCCGCACCGGTGCGGCCACACACACCCGGAGCTGGGGCAGTTCTGCGAGCGGTTCGGTGCCGACGGCGGCATCCCCGACTGGACGCCCGCCTGGTACAGGTGGGAACAACTGTTGGCACGCGCCGCGCTAGGCGCCCGAACGGGGATATCGTCATGACATCAAAATATATGGAGCGAGTATATCGTCATGGCGTCAGTACCCGCCGTCATATGTCGTCATGGCGTCAGTACCCGCCGTCATATGTCGTCATGGCGTCAGTACCCGCCGTCATACGTCGTCATGAAACGACGACACCGCGGCGCTCTCTGCCGTCACATCGCATTTCTCAGTGCGGTAGCCGCCGTCACATCGCATTTCTCAGCGCGGTAGCCGCCGTCATGTCGTATTTCTCAGCGCGGTAGCCGCCGTCATATCGCATTTCTCAGCGCGGTAGCCGCCGTCACATCGTATTTCTCAGCGTGGTAGCCGCCGTCATGTCGTATTTCTCAGCGCGGTACCCGCCGTCATGTTGCATTTCTCTCAGCACGGTAGCCGCCGTCATATCGAATTTATCAGCGCGGTACCAGCCGTCATGTTGCATTTCTCTCAGCGCGGTAGCCGCCGTCATGTTGCATTTCTCTCAGCGCGGTACCAGCCGTCATGTTGCATTTCTCTCAGCGCGGTACCCGCCGTCATGTTGCATTTCTCTCAGCGCGGTAGCCGCCGTCATATCGTATCTCTCAGCGCGGTACCAGCCGTCATGTTGCATTTCTCCGAGCGCGTTACCGATTACATCTCTGAGTGAGCCTCACCCGTTGTGTCGCGACTGAATGGATGGCTCAGGCTGGTGTGCGCGCGCCTGTTGCAGCGCCGACTCCGTGGAGGTGCCGTACAATGTGCAGGACACGCCTGCAGCCCGCGCCGATATCGCCGCCCAGTACACCACCATATCGCGACTGGACCAGGGTACGCCCGCATGGACCGACCGCGCCGCCTTCTGTGTCATGCATCAATATGTGGACGTATTGGTTAGCTCAGAATGACAGCGGCGGGAGGCTCTCGCGCATTTTGAGCTACTTTACTTACCTCATCACGACACGTGGGCAGTATCTGAGATTAAGACAAATCAATTATTGAACCACTTCGAAATAATTTTTGGTTAAGGTCTTGCAATAAGACCTTAACCATACCTTTACAGTCGATAGTATGGAGTGTGGCGACTGACGTGACGGTGCCAGTCCATGTTTTTGCCGCCATCATTCCATTCAATCTGAAGTTACAATTTGAACTAGATAGCTGTCTTCTGTGTTCGGCTGTTTGAACTCGTGCGCCCGCTCCGTCAGCGAGCATGCGCTGTGGCTCCCCGCGAGTGTGCCTCTGAACCGCTGCAGAGGCAACGACCTGGTTAGTTTCCGTAGCTTGCTGTCTATGCGTCAGTCGGGCAGTCTTGTTTTGAGCTGGCCAGATTGCGTGGCTGACGGAGTCACTTAGCTCGAAAACGGAGTTCATCAATTCGCAGGCAATCTAAAACGTTTTGAAACGAAAATTGGGCATTTATATTTATGGGCTCAACTCCTATTCCGGTTCAACTCATTTAGCCCGAGCGTTCGTGGAGCGGAGGCCCTACGCTTTCAGCACGACCGCATTCCGGGCAGGTGACCCACCTATTGTCGTGAGCATCTTTGGGATGTTTCTCGCAACGTGATCGCGCCCCTAACAACTGAACTGGCCCGCATTTGCATAAATGCGTTGCCTTCTGTGCTCTCAACCATGTTCTAACGACGCGTCATGCTCCAAGTGCGTCGCTTGCATTTGGTAGGACAGACAAGTTTCCCGTTGCCTCTGACTGGCCATCGGGCGGGGCCCCTGAACCATCGAACGCCACACAGTGCTCGTGCTCGCCGTATCCGGGCCGCTGTGTACTGTGTCCACGCTCGCAGTGTCCGGACCGCTGTGAACAGTGTCCGTGCTCGCCGTGTCCGGGCCGCTGTGCACAGTGTGCTCAGTGTACTGTGTGCACAGTGTGTACAGGGTGCTGTGTCCACGCTCGCCGTGTCCGGATCGCCGTGTACTGTGCTCGTGCTCGACGTGTCCGGGCCGCTGTGTACTGTGCCCGTGCTGGCCGTGTCCGGGCCGCTGTGTACAGTGTCCGTGCTCGCTGTGTCCAGGCCGCTGTGTGCAGTGCCCGCGCTCGCCGTGTCCGGGCCGCTGTGTACAGTGCCCGTGCTGGCCGTGTCCGGGCCGCTTTATACTGTGCCCTTGCTCGCCGTGTCTGGGCCGCTATGTATCGTGCCCGTGCTGGCCATGTCCGGGCCGCTGTGTACAGTGTCCGCGCTCGCCGTGTCCAGGCCGCTGTATACTGTGCCCGTGCTGGCCGTGTCCAGGCCGCTGTGTACCGTGCCCGTGCTCGCCGTGTCCGGGCCGCTGTGTACAGTGTCCGTGCTCGCCGTGTCCGAGCCGCTGCATACCGCGCCCGTGCTCGCCGTGTCCGAGCCGCTGCATACCGCGCCCGTGCTCGCCGTGTCCGGACCGCTGTGTACAGGCGCCTGACTGCCGCAGGCGTCGGTCTGGTGCTGGCCGAGGTGGCCCGGGCCGGCTACAGCGACAGCACGCTGGTCGTCTACACGTCCGACAACGGCGCCCCGTTCCCTGCCGGCCGCACCAACCTGTACGAGCCCGGTAAGGCGGCCGGCAGTCCGCGGACCTCGGCAGCCGAGTCTCGTCGGATGTGGAGGACTTCGAGCAGTTAAGAGATATGAAGGAGTCGTTGTGCTTTTGGTGACTGCATTCCTTTTAGAACGGCGAGGGATTCTTGCGACTTGGCTGGAGGGTGGCTCCTTTAATTTGGAATGGGCTTAGTCGGTCATTTACTGCAGTGCGGTTGGATTGGGTTGCAGTGGAATCGTGTTGTTGACAATAGGACATTGATCTGGGCATTGAGACTTAAACCCACTGTACCCGCCACGCACTGCGTCGTCATTTGGCCTGCTGGCTGTACCGCTGGCCGCCTTGCCCACTCGCGCCGGCCGCGGGTGGTGGCCGTCTCCTGTAGTGGCAGAGCTCGGCCGGGCTGACGCCGGGATGTGCTGGGCGTGGCAGGTCTGCGCGAGCCCCTGCTGCTGCGGGTGCCGGGCGAGCGCGGCGGCCGCCGGCTCGGCACGCCCGTCTCGCTGCTGGACTTGGTGCCGACCGCGCTCGACTGGCTGGACCTCGCCTACCCCAGCTACCACCTCAATAACCGCTCGGCCGCCGTCAGGCTCACCGGGCGCAGCCTGCTGCCGCTGGCGCGCAAAGGTAGGCCTTTCATCTGTCGACGAGACAGGCGACTACCTGTTTGCGATGTTGCCGCTCCAGCGCCAGCATCGGCTGATTTCCCTGTTGGGGCAATTACGGACGGTGACGGAGTGGTATTAAACTCACACCGGAGGGCTCAGAGCAGTGGGATGGTGTTGCGGCGATGGGCTGTCGTCGCAGAACGCCCAGCGGATGGAATAGCTGACGACTTGTGTTGCCAGGCTAAGATGGTCTGGAGGAACAGGAGCATGCACTGGAGCACCTTCACGTCGCGGCCAGGACTTGCATAATTATTACGAGCAAGGCGGCAGGCCGAGGGTGCATGGATGTCAACTAACCGATTTTTTTTTAGATTCAGCCGGCCGTCCCGGCCCACCGCGATCCGCTCCGGACTGATCAGCGCTTTCTCAGGCTGATACATTTGCAGCCTCTGACCCTAACCTCATGCACTTTGAAACAACAAGAAACATACTGAAAATTTGCAAGGCACTGCCAGCCCTTTTTATTTTAGGCTGTTCGATCAGGATTACTTTCCCGCCACATCGAAATATCACCAGAGTTCAGTATCTCATGAAAGAGCTGCACAACACGGGTGGAAACCGGACGCAGATGTCGTCCACCCGACCTCTCAGCATCAACAGGCGCATGCCATTTGATGGGGCAGAACAAGTCAGGACGTTATTCATCCCGCAGCCTGTTACTGACACGCGAGGGCAGGCAGTGAGCCCACCGGTTTGGAGGCGTTCCTCCCAGGATTGGTCTCTTATCCCGTCAGCCAGAGCAAGTGCCGCTGTGCAGCCAACTGCATGGTGTGGGCCGTCAAATGACCAGGCGACCCCGTCACTGACCGGCCGATGTGAGGCGTAACGGCCATGGCCCGAGGAGTGGACGGTGCTGCCGCTCTCAATATTGATCCCCTCTACAGCCCGCTGCAGCCGGCGCGGACAGGGAATGGACCGCGGCTAGACGTAATCAAATTGGATCACTTCATATTAGACGCAAATTAACGTGCATTAATCATCAACGGAAAAAATTCGCCTCGCTCCTGTGAATGATTTATGTGCAAACATTGAGAACGTAAGGCAGACGGAATGGTTGGATTTCGGTGCAAGAATTGAACGTCTGCTTATGTTTACGATCATCTAGGTAAAAGCCGTTTTGTTTGTGGATGTGCAAGTGAATCTACTTCGGTATACTGGTTCTCATTCTAAAACATGTCTTAAAGACGGATGTTTCACCGCAATGCCAAAACAAACTTTGTACGGGTTTCCCCTAGCGTATAACCGCATTCGCATAGGCTTTGGTATCAGCCACGTCATGGCAAGTGTGTTAGTGTATTAGGTCAGCTGATCTCGCGCGCCCAACCGCTAATGGTCGGTCGTCCGTGCTTTTCTCGTGTTCCTTATTGTTGCGATTGAATTTCGAACCGCAGAGCAGGCGGAGACGCGAAACCAGATGCATGATGTAAGCGAATGTACAGTTGACTGAGCTGTCGTCAACTGAACTGCGACACAGAGATTTCGACACCGTTCGATCCAAGACAGCCGGCTGCTGTACATGCAGCGCCAGTTGGTGACGGGGAAGAGCAAAACGTCGGCTTTGTTTATAATTAAACTCCGAATAGGTTGGCGGGGGTGGCTGTGGGTTCTGGCTAAGCGAATCTTGTAACTGATGTCCTAAACCCAAGTTGTGCCGTTCCGGTTCGACGAATGATTTCTCTTTCCAGCCTTTTGAGTGACAGGGCCGTGAGCGGTTTTACGTGCCGCATATTGCTGGGGCTCTGTCGCCCGGGGCCTGGGCGTATCCACGTCGACCAGTCGCCAGCTGACCTTTCCTCAGTAAGCCGGGTCAAGCAATGTGCCCACGCTGGGCCGGTGCTCAGTGCCGTACCATAATGAGTTGAGCAGCTGTCCCCATGCCATGGGGGCGGCAAATAATTAACTGAGGCGGTGGGATTTTTCCTTCAGACCACAAAGATGGTTAATCCTAACTCGTGTGCACTTGCTGTGACGTAGACCGAAAGAGACTGCGTCGCGCAGACTACGCAGGCGTGTAGTTCAGTTCACTGTGACGACTATACACCCAAAATACATGCGTTTTACAATAGTTTGGTCACTGTCAACGAGAACTTCACCAGTTACCGTAACTAAACTCAAGCTCACCGATTTCGAATGAGCTGGACACGCCTGTCCAGACCACTTAATCGACGTTTCAGCGGTTCTTCCGTGGCCTTGAACCGGGCCCGTGGCAACCAGTTATCAAGTTATGCGGCTTGTGAATTAGCAGGCAAACAATGCTTTGCCTGCTAAGCGGAAACAAAGATGGGCATCCCAATGCGTTAGTAGGGTCCAGCCGTACGTGTTCTCAACCTCAAAGGTGTCTGACTCCGTTCAGTTAGGTTTCGTACCATGTACATGGTAATAACGCCGTTATCGCCGGGCTCATGTCGTCCGGTGCAAGACATCTCACCGGTTACTATATAAGTGGCCATCAGTTAATGATATGCTCACATACCCTGAGCTCAATAACTGCTTCGCTCATTTCTCTCCGTGCAAGACGTCTTCCGCGTCATATAGAATTGGACTAATGGTTACTTATATTATGTTCACATGTCTGGAGTTTAATAACTATGCCTTGTGTCGAAATGTTTACTTTCCTCTGCACGATTTATATAATTCGTCCGTTCGTTTGACGTTGGAGTCTTTACTGAACCGCGCGCCGCTGGTGGCCAGTTAACACCAGGCAGCGGACTGCGGGCGCGCGTGAAATGCCATGTGGCAGGGCATGCCTTAGAAAGTTCCTTATCGATTCGTGCCGATTAAGGGTTAACCTGAGGCGTATGTTACACTTCTACCATTTTGGGGATGCCCTATGAACGGATTTACAGTTACGGCAATACGAACAATAGATATTCGACCATGACGTGAGTTCGTGCTGCTATTAATGCTAATCCGTTGCGAGTACCAATCTAGTAATTCCACGGGTGAAATATACGGCCCGGAATACATTCCGAACGTAACTGAGTTCACAGAGCGTTCGGATGTTCATGACGCGCATGGCCTATGGAGACTGCAACGTCGGGCTTCGGCGTTTTTGTTTCTAAGGCGTTACTTGCGAGCGCGTATGCTCAAAGCTGTGCTATATCATTTTTCCGCTAATCAAGTCTTATGTAAGATGACCCATTTTGGTCTACATGCAATCTACGGGATTCTCAATACCATTGTAGAACATCGAAAAATCCAGGGACTCTAGATTGTTTGCGAGTTAGAAACAGCCGACTAAACCTTTTAACATGTCTGGGGTCAGCGTTTATTCGATAAGGTCATTTAATGCATACTTCCTCCAATCTATTGGCTTCGAAATACAAACACAGTACCTTCTTCTGGCAGCTTCTGGTTTATACTTCAGTTGAAGAAGGTAACAAATAAAGCGAAGGAAATAGGACCTTGACATCAAGTGGATCAAATTCGTTTTTTTTGGGGGGGAGGGGGCTTTTCACCCGTGGGAGCCCTTCGTCAACCGTGGTGCTGACATTTCTGAATGAGGCAGGGGCTTTTGTGTGGCGTGATTGTCGGGGATGTGGCGGGAACAAACTAAAAGCAACTTTGAAGCAAGCTTAATCGCCAACCTGAGAAAATGTAGGGTTTTGAAACTAACAATAGACGCATTTTGTGTAAATCTTTTAGTGCCCTATGATCTGGTTATCTCGTTTCGCATTCTCATACAAAGGCAACACATTTCGTGCAATCATCTTTGGAATTGAAATCATCCTCTGCTCTTGCGATCCCTGTAATCGTTTCCACTCTTGTCGTTTTCCATGTGATTGGCGCCACGTTGACATTTGCCTGGCCTGTATTGCAGGGGTCAAAGTTGAGAGGAGTATATTCGCCAGCCAGACGTTCCATGAGGTAACCATGACCTACCCAATGAGAGTGGTGCGTGACTCACACACCAAGCTGATCCACAACCTCAACTACCGCCTGCCGTTCCCGATTGACCAGGATTTCTACTTATCCCCTACGTTCCAGGTGAGTGCACTTTTTAGCGAGGGCTCTTGCCGGGAATTCGGTCTCTCCCCGGTCACCCGGTGGATGAAATCCTTCGCCGGTGGTCGGATGACGCATATTTACCACATGCTGGGCGGTTACGACAGTGAAGCTTGGTGTGGCCGAATCGCTGGCATTGGTAGCACCGCATGGGGTTAGGCACATAAGGGCGAACCTTCACTCGAGCGTATCCCACACATAACGCGGCCGGCAAATCAGTGGAACTAAACGTCAGAATGAGGTTGTTGGTGGGCAACAGGTCTCCTCCCCGTCTGACGAGAATCCTGCGAGCGCTCGTCACGCCAAACTCTGAGAGTTCTTCAACTGTCTCGTCCTCAGCGACGCCACGAAGATCGAAACAATTGACGAATGGACGAATTGGACGAACGAACCCCTGGACGAATTTTTGGTCTTATGTGGTATTGCTGATATGGACACCGACTTTTCATGCATGCCAGTCTCATCCCGAACACTATACGTAAATTCCTTGGCTGCCACAGCCCTGCTCGCCTCCGGACGACTAGCGAACTCTACTGCTATTTTTCCATCCCTGAGTTTGTCACATCTGGTGATTTTCGCAAACCTGTCGCGGCCGTTCCGCCTCTGAAACGGTGAGAGGGAAGCCAGCTTAATCTCATCACTACCAAAGATCAGGATCCGTGGACCGGGGGGCGCAGATTCTTCTCTGCACCCTGGGGTTGTCGAGGTCCGCCTACCTTTCGTAGGAAGGGTTTTTCAAGGTGAGAAGACGCCATAAAAAGCGCTTTTCATCTCGGCACCGGGGCTCCCCATCCACCTCGGAGCGCAACTGGGGGACGGCCCAACACTCCCTCCGGAGGTGGTCGCCGCCAGGGCTACTCCGGTGCTATACGGGGCGAACGACGCCTCCCACATGGCCACGTGTACCCGGGGAGACTCCTCCCCGTCCTGACCGTGGTTCAGCGCCGCCGCCCCTTAACGCCTTAAGCCGCTGCGCGCGGCCAGGCGCCCCAAGCGGAGACCCGCAAGGAGCACCCAGCCGAAGCGCGAGCGACAAGCCGCTAGGCCCGTGTGGAGCCCCACGCCCCCCCCCCCCCCCTCCGCGCCCCCGGATATCCCGGCCAAAGTGGAGCGTTGGGACGCGCCGTGACTAACCCGCACAACGCGCCCCTCAGTCACCAGGATCCAATCAATCCGGGGACGCGGGCGAGGAGGCACGGCACCCCGATAAAACGAGGATGAGGAGTGGTGATAGGGCCGGATGCGGGAGAGCGGGTAATTGGAAAGGAGCGGGCGGGACAAGGAGTAGGAGCTCACGTACCGGCAGGGTCGCTACGCCCTGAGAGCAACAGCTTGCGCTGTCCACCCGTTACCGGGGACACCGCGGCACTGTCTGGAGTCCGTCCGTTTGGAGTCGATGACACCGCGCTACCGTCTGGAGTCGATGACACCGCGGCACCGTCTGGAGTCGATGACACCGCGGCACTGTCTGGAGTCGATGCGCGCTGGCCGGTAGTTCCACTGGGCGGCTTTCTGGGTTCCACTGATGTTCGGCCGTGTGGCAAATGGCGGCCTGATAAGCATCAGCGCTGTCTTGGACGACTTATACCCGCTTTAGGGTTCTGTACCCTTGTATTACATTTTGCCCGGAGGGTCAATTTTAGTTGCGCTGGATTTCCGTCGATTTCGCGCGCCACAAGTCGTGCTATCCAGATCGGTGTTCCTTTGGTGGCGAGCGGCCAACGGCCGGGGTCGCCCGGTGCGTCCGCAGCCGGCCAACTCCGCAGAGAAGAGTGGAAGCCGCACGATCTCCGCTCGCGATGTTGCTGCGCAACGGTGCACAGACGCGACTCGGGGTCCAGGCTGCTTGGTGGCCGAGATCGAGACGCACATCGCTGTTTGCTGACTCAAGTATCATCTGTTTGGGTATATTACCTGCCGGAAATCCAAACTAGATGTCATTTTTATATGTATGATTCAAGACACGCATTGTGCACAAGCCTTAACTTGTAACGCGCAGTGAAAGCAGCGACAGGGCCGCGTGTGGTAGAGGTTTCCCCTCCGTGTGAGAATACGACACATTTCGTGAACGTCGAACCCACATGGTACTGGTGCTCCGGACCCGCTGGGTCTGCCACTGACCGCCAGAGGACAGACCGGCGTGCTTTGGCCGTAACGCCGGGATGTCAGCTTAGTTTGGCGCTGAGTGCCAGCTAATCCCAAAACGTTTCCGTTCGTGCGGCGCTTGTCGGCCTGTCAGACGGGCACGTCTTGGCCGTCGCGCTACCGTTGTTTGGCCGTTTGACAGGACCTGCTGAATCGGACCCTGTCCGGTGAGAAGCTGCCTTGGTACAAGACGCTTCATGGCTATTACCACAGGCCAGAATGGGAGCTGTACGATCTGAAGCGGGACCCATGGGAGCTGAACAACGTGGCGTCCAAGACATCGTACCAGGTCAGTCAGCGAATGAGTGGTACGTCGCATCTTCGTCATCAGAACGGAGGGGAAGCCATCCAACAGCACCGGGTCTCGGTCGTTTCTGATCAGTTTGGTCTTTCTGGCTTGCAGCGATCCTGAAAAGCTGTGTCCACTAGCGATGTAGTCAGTCACTGTCGTGTACGTGCTAGACGCGTCCAATCGTATTGGTGGCCGTCATTATTTTTCCTCCCGTTAGTGCTATAAGATTGTTTGTTTGGCGTAGAACGTCTACACGTGTTCGACTGGCTGACCCGCGCTAGCTCTCTCCTCCCCGACCGTGTGGTTGTGGACGTTACACGTGCTCGACTGGTTGACCCGCGCTAGCTTCCCCCCCCCCCCGACCGTGTGGTTGTGGACGTTGCACGCGCTCGACTGGCTGACCCGCGCTAGCTCTCCCCCCCCCCCCGACCGTGTGGTTGTGGACGTACTCATGATTATAATCGTTTGTTGCATGATTTGACTTCCTTCCATCGTCTTCCGAGATGTCCCCAACTGAGACTGTGGTGCTTAGAAGGGCCTGTTGTGCACTTGATCCCAGAAATGGACCGCATCATGGTCCCTGCAAAGTTTGTCCAGGGGCGGGATTGCCTGTATCTTCTCTAGGGCCCCTAGCCTTAGAAATGTCCGTCCTTCTCTGCATTGTTCCGTGGTGGGACCACTTGCTGACCTTGCCCCGTGTGGGACCGCGCGTCTCCCATATTGAGTTATCAGCAGTCGGTCCGCTATTTTTTTCTCCGCAGTTAGTTTATTCGGCCGTGGTATTATTACATTGCCGCAGACGTGCTTGCCGAGTAGGCTAGAGCGCGGGTTTTAAAAATTCTGCTGGCATGTGGTAGTTGAGTGGTAGCTCAGCGAAGAACCAGTGTCTGGTAGTTGACCGGTTACAGGCTACGACTTTTAGCTTCTGTTTTGTGACTTATTTGTGAGGAGCTACGACTTTTGGGCTTCTGTTTTGGAACCAATTGTTTGTGACGGGCTACGACTTTTGATCTTCTGTTTCGTGACGTCTTGTTTGTGACGAGCTACGACTTGTGGGCTTCTGTTTTGTGACGGGTGCGACTTTTAGGCTTCTGTTTTTTTGTCACGGCACGCTGCAGACTGTCGGCGCCTGTTCTGCATGTGGACCCCAGGAAAAGCCGCATCGATCCGAAATTGTTGTTTCGGTGATTAGACACCAAGCCCACATAAGCTGCACTTGTAATGGCCCCGGGGACTAATTGGTGCTGCATCTCAGCGCCCCAGCCCGGCGCGCCCGCCCTGACCGGGGCTGCGTGCCCGCAGGCCACGTTCGCGCGTCTGCGCCGGCAGCTGGAGGCGTGGCAGTGGCGCACTGACGACCCCTGGGTCTGCGCTCCGCACGGCGTGCTGCAGAACGCAGGTCCGCACCGGCGCCAGCCGCTCTGCATGGCCCTGCACGACGAGCTGTGAGCGCGGTGCCGCGACCGCCGGCGGCCGGGGCACCGGCTGGCGCTGGCGGCTCGAGCGATGGGCGCCGCCGCCGCCGCTCCTCGCCGTCACAGCGGCCTGCTGACCGCCGCCGCTGGAGTCATTAGCGTCGCAATATCTCACGCCGTGCGGCGCGTCAGGCCAGTGAAGCATGCAGCGGCGTCAATCGCAGCTGACGGGCACTGATCTGAGGACCGGCACACATCCTGCCGCAGCGCTCTGAAGTCAGTCAACTCGAAGTGACACTTTTTATGGGCATATTATGGACGCATGGACCGAAAACTACTCACTTTCATCGTCTATGGAAATATTAGGCCAAAGTGTCCTGTTTCAGGCCTGCGTATAGGACGTGCCCTTGGAAAGGATTCAGGCTGTTATGTTTTGTGAAGCTCACCAATGGTGTGATCGCGTCCCATTCTACACTCGCGCAGCGTGCCGGACTGGCGGCGGTGTCAGCCTGGCCGCAGGGGCGGGCCGCCGCCGGCCTCCGGCAGGCACCGCCGTGCCCGGTCGCCGGCCGACCGGTCTGTTTGTGGCGTGTTGCCTACGCGGGCGCTGACTGGAGCCGGGGGACTGCTACGGACGACGGAGTTGGGGTCCGTTGGTGCGGCGGGACCCTGCGGACTGGTACCGGCTCGTGGACTTCTCGACTCGGGCCGGGTCACGCCCAAGCTTCGGGAGTTGTGCGGCATTTGACTTTCGAAGATGCTTTTTCCGATTATGTGCGGAGTGGAGTTTGGAGTGGAGTCCGCCAGACTGTCGCGCCCTGCTCCTCAGAGTTGGGCGTCGACGGAGCCCGACTCAGGAGAGACTAATTACGCGTCTTGTAAACGAGCTTATCCTTGTACATCGTTTGCTTTATCGTGACGGTAATAATTTTTATATTGTAATACAATGCGTGCATGTACTACTTGTGTGCACGTACGAACGCCGTGTGTAATGTAATGCGTGGCCTGGTTTTTGCCTCCTTTCCCTTGCCCGGCCTTCTCTCCCTGTGCGTTGGCATTTGTTCTTAGCGTGGTCTGTGCGTACCCTAGCTTCGCTTCATGTGTATTCAGTTGTGTCACTCTAGTGGCTGGGCGGTTCTGTGACCTCCCCGGGCCGGTCCTTAACCCCCAGCCTTAAGGTCATCTCCACAAATATGCAGGCTGAGTTCCTAACTTATGCCACCCCTGAAGTTGCCAGAAAACCTCATCAACTGTCCCCGCCATTGCCACACAGAGCGATTAAATCGTTAGTTATGTTACCAGTCAATCATCATTGTCCGTCCCGACAGCTCAGTTGATGAGAGCGCCTACAGTCTGATCCTTCCACCCGTGTTGGGGTAGGTTCCAGTCGCTTTAGGCACTCGCTGTTTGTCCCTGAGTGGGATGGCCTCGGTCCGGTGGCAGCAGCCGCAATGAAGCTCAGGTGAACGAAACGAAACGAAAGGCAGAACGAACCGTGCCGAGCATTGCGGCACGTCAAACTCGTCATCATTCTGCCGGTGTCCTGGAACATGATCGGATGGGTGGGGTCAGGGGTCACGCAACAAGCATTGTTTCGTGAGGACGCTGATCCTAAAAAGCTTTCCAATGAAAAGGTTCTGGCTAAATCTTAAAAAGCAGTGGGTCACAAACTTTCCTCGCAGGGGATGCCATTTTTCCTCGGAACAAGTTGTAGCTCTTGTTCAGCAACGGTGCTGCTTCCTGGCCCATACCTTTCTTGCCCCGAAGCGATCGCGGCTCCTCTTGCAGTGTCCGCAACAGCTTCATTATCGCTCGTACCAGCAATACCTGTGGGACCTCGTGCGTCCTTCCCCATGCTTGGGTCTCGAGCAGTGAGACCGGCCTGTCCGCTGACCCGCTTCATGTGCCAGTGTCCGCCAACGTCGGTCTGCCCTCCCCTCCCCCCCCCCTGCCGTGGGACCAGGCCGCCGCTGCCGACCCTGTCCCGGATTCTCCCCTCCCGGGCCCAACCAGGCTGAAGAGCGCGTCCGGTTGCCGCGTTGCCGGCCAGTGCCGGCCGACCGCAGGCGCCACTGCGCTGCCCGCCGCCGGTCAGCCGCGCGCGTTCGTTTGACCTGCGGCCCGCCAGCTGACCTGCGGGAGAGGGCGGCTCGCCCCGGCCGTACTCCTCACGTGGCCCGGTGGCAGCGCGCCACTGACGAGACTGGTACGCCGCACTCCGGACTCTCCCGCGCGGGACGCTGCTGGGCGGCTCCCGAGAGCCGGTGGGCAGCGGCCGCGTCTTCTGATGCGTCAGGGACTGCGTGCAGCTGTGTACGAGACTGACGCAGCTCGACTGAACGGAACTCGAGACCGGCGTGGCTCGACTGAACGGAACTCGGGACTGCCGCTGCCCGATTAAACGTAGCTCGAGACTGACGCTGCTCGATTAGACGTAGCTCGAGACCGACGCGGGTCGATTGAACGGAACTCGGGACTGACGCGGCTCGACTGAATGGAACTCTGGCGCGTGATTGTCGCTGATCAGTTTCATGACAAATCTGAGATGCAAGTCAAGCGTGAGGGTAAGGCGATTTGAAAATCTGACAGGTGAAGCGACGTCTTCGATGCCGTCATAACGAAGCGAAGATTTTCGAATCACAACCGATCGCTTGGTCAAACAAGCCCAGTTTTTCCAGCTTTTAAGTGCTAATCGACATAGGTTTTGTAATTGGGACGAAGTTCTTGGTTCGGTTGACCCCCCTCTATCCCAGCCATCGGATTACTGATGTAACTCGACAACAACGCTATAAGCGTTATACTGTATCCACTAAATATAGAATAGTGCTATACGATGTCATCTACATTGTCTAAGATACTCGTATATCTCGTACACTGACTCGTGTGTCGACGGCACACTGCCGATCCGTACATCCAAAACGCGCTATCCGCGCCCGCGGCGACTCTGCCTCAGACGTTCGCCCGCCATTCATTCTGAATGGCGTTTCCATCGTATAGCTGAATACTAAGACCGGAGAAATAAGAAATCCGTCCGCTGCTGCCGCAGGGCTCTCATTCTAAGACGCTGCACACACGTCGATACACCCGTGTAATGAACAGCCGGCACAACAGCGACAGGAACATGCATGGGTACGTGATTTGTTGACGCGGGTGCGAGCACACTGCGGTGTGACCAGCGCACCGTCCGGCGCTCGAACCTCGCCATCCGTCGGACGGCTGCGGCCGGACCTGGACACGGAATCCGCCGCAGACGGGCCGCAGACGGGCACGGACCCGCCACGGACCCCGGCACGGGCCCGCCGCTGACCCCGCACGGACCCGCCACAGACCCCGCACGGACCCCGGCACGGATTCGTCCACAGAACTCGGCACGGACTCCAGCACGGGCCCGACACTGAACCCGGCACGGACAATCGGCGGCGCGGGCGGCAGCGCCGGTCAGCACCGACTCCGGGGGAACAGTTACATTGGCCTGCGGCTCGGGGAGGCAGCGCACGAGGAGCGTCGGTCAATACGGGGGCCGTGGAGGCTGCGGCCTGGGGCCGGTGCACCACACTTGATGGGGGGGGGGGGGACGGTCGCAGCACATGCGACGGAGGGTTGGTTATGAGGATTGAGGCATGGTCGGGCCTTCCGTGCCCGATCTCTAGGTGGCATAGGCGCAAGCGTACCTGTGCGGTGCACAACACAGTGAGAAGCAGCTGACGTGACATTTAGGAATGTTCCCGTGAAAACACACTCTCATCACCCGCGAAGCAGCTTTGGAAGCTCCCTGTGATATCTAAAGTACGCTCTCTGTGAAAGCAAGCCCTGCGATCACGCATGCGACTCTCCCGATCAACACGTTTAATTCGCGGCAGGTGGTACCCGAGCAAAATTCTTCCGGGGCAGACGCCATGCACCACACACCATGCACCGCACTGTGAACATGGGCTGTCCGACAAACAGGTCAACGAACTTCGAGTTCTGGGCTCTTCCATTGGTCTCGCATTAGCATGACAAATACACTGATGAGAGCACCTTTTATGGCGGAGGTAGTCGTGCCGATTAATCCAGTACCTGCCTGGCATGATATAGTCATGCAGAGCGTGGGTGCTGCTCAGGCATTGCAGCGCCACGTTCATAAAACATGCATTGCCTATGTTCCGGAGTCCCGTCCCCCGTAAGACCGAGCGCCGTGTCGCGGGCCGCGCCCTGCCGCCATCCTCGCTCGAGCTTTAATCCATGGGCAGCTCGACGGAGAGGCGGCCGGACCTGGTCAGACGACCGGGTCTAGCTGCTCCCGGTTCCATCATTCAGGGCGCGCCAACCCGGCTTGTTGCTTTCCCGTCTTGCTTGCGTGGCGAAGAATTTCAGAACTTCGCGGGAGTTGGCAGCAATATGTAGTTTATGAGTGGTGTTCGCAATATGTCTGTGGTGTATTTTCAGGCAGCCATGGTAAATCGGTCAGCGTTTCAAGATGCACCTTTGAGAGTGGGTTGTTGTTTCTGGTTTGCCCATGTACCGTTAATTTGCGAATTTGCTTACTCTGTGCGACTTAGGGACATTGCAAGCTCGGGGTACTTTTGCGCTGTCTGAAAACTATGTATTTCAACTCCAATTTTGACTAAGTTGCTCAACTTGCGTTGTATGTGGCGGACCGTAGTAATTCTGTTACGCTTTATAGTGGTTCAGGACAATCATGCAAATTCGTGGACATGTATGATGAAATGGCGTAGCATCTCGAAAAGCCGAAGGTCTATTTGGTAGCCTAATGGTGGTGGTATCATGGCACATATGTGGCAAAATACCATATCCATGATCGAAATAGCGTAGATGTGTTGTGGACGCAATCCAATGCCTATATTTATCAGGAAGGGAAGCCTATTTGGTTACGGACACACTCTTAAAATTAGCAGGTTCTAAGGTGGTCAGCTGATGCGACTACAGGTGAGCATGCGTGTGGTGGGACCATAAACCCCTCGAGTTATGGTACTTAGGTCAGCAGCAGGTCATGTTTTGGAGACCGAGACCGTAAGGCCGAATGACCGTGTTGCAGGCCGCGCTCCACCGCAAATATCATTCTTGGGAGTCTTGGCATCCATGGTCCCTTCTTTTGACGACGCTGCAAGCTGTCTCAACATGCCGTCTTTGTGATGGGCGTGTACAGTTGCTTTTTTTAAGCTAGCTAAACTGGATGTTGCTAAGGCTGCATTCCCTCGGACTACGATAATAGCCAGATGCTGCCAGAGCCAAGCACTCTCTTGTCAACCACTTGATGGTGAAATCGGCCAAGCCAAGACAAAGAAAAATACTGTTGATGGGTCACAACATTCACAGGCTTCATAAGTAAATCCTTCATGCTGTGATTAGTGATAAGTTTACCCACACCAAGAACAGAAATATAATAGAGCACACACAAAATAGAGCAACAACTGATATCTACATTCTGACAGCCACCAGATATGAAGGGAATGGAACACAAGATGCAATATTCTCTTACCAGTCACACATGTGCCATATGCAGGGTTTTATTCAATGGCACGGAACAGGTAAGCTTATCAGCTTGGCCGCTTCATCTCATTGAGTAAGAATTGGTCAACTCAAAGTTTGGCTTCACCCCATGAACTCAGCATCAGAATAGACTTTGCATTGTGGGTCAGTCAGAATTGGTAACTGAAGAAAAACATTGAGTGTATGCCCAATGGTGACTTCTGGGCTAAGGTCCCTAATTGCAATGAGAGTATACTACATTGAAAAATGATGTGGAGCAGTCAACTAAAAAATTTGATATCACCTGAAGGACATACTTCACTAGCTTTGAACCTCCTGACTGCATTTTACAGTTATGAAATTTTTGGGTTCACAGTGAACCTGCCTTTAGGATAAATATTTGTCTGGACCAGCCTCATGATAATTGCACAGTTAGAAATACCCTCAGATTTTAAGCTGCATTTTTGCACATATTTTTATTCTTTATCATTATATTTAGAAGCAGAGGCAATATTGGACAATTGTGAGGCCTAGGATTCTATAAAGTAGCTGTATGTTTACCTGGTACTATTTGGTAGACACCTTCATGCCAGGTGTATCAATCATGCATCAAAACACAGGTAAGCCATGTGTACTTTATACTGCACTGGTTATCTTGTATCAGTATCTTTTTTGTCTTGCATCATAGTATCAGCTGGATGTATCTTTGGAATACATTTGGTATTTCTAACAATAGAGCAATCAATGTTGCAGACAATCAGCATGGGGGCCCCTTTTTTGGCAGATCCATTGCAGTTGCATCCACCAGCTAATATATAACTGTCATGAGAGTTATGTGTTGTGAAACTGGTATGAAGCATTATATTAAAGATAGGATTGCTTTCTTGCACACCTCCTTGTGAGTGGTGTTTTCAAGTAGGTGGTGCTTTCTGGTGGGAAAACTGGGCTGTGCTATAACAATGCCACTGAAGAAAACATAAGTCTCAATGATCATCATTTTCATGAAGTGAGAAATTTGTGGTACTGGCCGCAGGTATCATGCTGAGTTTAAACAATAATGCATAAATCCATACCATGTTAAAGGTTACATCAAGAGGAATGTGCGGATGGAGCAAGGGAGTGATGAGTAATTTTTTGTTAAAATTGTCTAACAATTATTTCCTAACAATAAGTGGAGCAGCAGACCACAATGCATTTCTCTGTAGCAACATTAACGAAGCAGCATTTCTGGGGCATAATTGGGTAGGAACCAAATTTGATGGGCATGATGAGAATATGCATCTTAGATGTAAATTTAAAAGCTCAAATGTACCAGAATATTGAATGTTCCATTTCAGATTGCTGCAAGTGCAAAAATAGGTGAACTGAAGTAGTTGTGATGTCATAACTACTGCCTGTGTTGCCAGCAGATGGAATGTACAGAGTGATGTTACTACCATACCAGCTAATGTGTCCCATCACTATAGAAAGCAAGATGTGTTTTGAAGGGCAACAAAATGCACTCAGCTTAACAGCTTAACTTTTTGCCTTTGTAAAAAATAATATCCATTGTAATCATGACATAATGTCAAAATGAATGGCATATCCCATATATTAGTTCTGATTGTTTAGGATGTTCATGCTAGTATCTGGTGGCCAGCATTATGCATCTGTTACCAGGGATGTCAATTTTTGTAAATGAAAGGAGAGTGAGCCAAGGCTTCACCAACCTGCTCCCCCTTCTCCATGTCTTTCAACATGTATAGCCCACTTTATTTTGTGGAAAGATGATAGAGATTTTTATGTTGTATCATGCATGAAAGACTCCTTAGTACTTAATTTAAGCGGCATCATAGTCAGGCAGGGGCAGATTGAGAGTGTAAAGGCAGGCAGGGGCAGATCGAGAGTGTGGGGGCAGGCAGGGGCACTGAAAGCATGTGCCTGCTGTGGTTAGATGGAAAAGACGCCACTTTCGAGGCCGCCTAAGGGTGCCAAAGGCGGTCTTCTATGGCGCACATAAGCGGAGGCACGTAGTTTTTTTGGTTGTTGCATGGCACGGGGACAGTGTCAGCTTTAAACATGTTAGGTTAGGTTATCCACATACTCCGGAGCTTCCCAGTTTACCCACTCAAACTTTTGTGCATCTTCTGGTCGTAGGTGTGCAGTTTATTGCATCGTTTATCCGCGTAGCTGTTACGATTGGTATCCGGCGATGAGAGCCCTGCACTTTATTAGGAGGGAAACGGGCGTTGTAGTGTGGGTAAGTGTGCTGGTATATAGGACAAACACACGTTTCTTTGGGGTACGAAGCATCCGACTACATCAACACGCGCTTGGGTACGGGTCAGCGTGATCCTCCGAACCTAAATATTTTGCTTAGACCAGTTATCTAGGTCCACGGTGTTTACATGAGAAGGCCGGGGCTTTTTGGACACCATTTTGGAGTTGGGTCTTGTTTGACCTTATTTGACCAGGCAGTCAATACCTAGGCATTTCAAATTGTGACACAAGTGAGTTCACGTAGAGGTCAACACATTTTGTAAGTTTGGTGTCTTGGTGTCTCTAGTTCTCTTATCTTTTTTAAAAATCTTCAGGACGCCAAATTGACCTCCCAGCCGAGCGAAGGGTATTCAACCAGCTACCCGGGTGCGTGTTCGCGGACCCACAGACTCACCTACATGATCTGGGCTCAAACTATGCTACCAAATTACACGAACTACTCTCATGTCCTTTTCGTCACTGGATTCAGGATCATAGCACCTCCCGCGTGAAACAATGCTGATTTATGTAAGCTGCAATTTATGTACAATGTGCAAGTGGCTTGTAAAAAAAAAACATTGGCCTGCATTTCGCGTCGTACCACATTCCAACTCGATTCTGTGACCGCTTTATTTTTCGCAAACTGCGTTAACTAGATGCATAAAAATGCGTCTTAAAAACAGCGGTGAGGGTACGTTTGTTGGCGCTGTGATGCGGAAATGTGTGTACTTCTAGCAGGGTCGCCGCGGCACACTTATTATTGACTTGTTGCTGCACGCCTGAGGTGCGCATAATTGTCCGTTCAATGTAGATATGTCATTACGCAAGCTCTTTAATGTGAGCTATAAGAATGACAGTGTTAAACAGTGACAGTGACAGGGAGTTAAAGAAGCGTTCCAAATTTGAAGATATTGGAAAGGTTCCGCATTTGAAGATATTGAATCAAGGATCATATGTTATAAAGCAAATTCCATTATAACTATTGGTGTGCTTTTAAGTGGAAGAGACTGCTCCAGAGAACACAATTTCTCAGGTCAGTTAATATGATCCTCCATACGTCATTGCTTGGTTGCGTCATCGTACCAGGCACATCATTGATTGAGAGCCAATTGACGGCCGTTATATCAAGGAATCGTGCTCATGAACGCTAGACATGAACGACTCGACAATTATATTTTGGTGGCCTTGATTGCCGCATGACCAATAGACTGGCAGGATTTGAATGACGTCATCAAGGCGTCTGGATGTGAGGGTGGCCTTGAGATAGTCTGCATGAGATATTCCGCACTTCTTATTGGGTGCGTAGCTCAGAAACCAGAGGGGTTTAGGGCTTAAGAAGGGCAGAGCTGTGAACTGCACCGAATGTTCTTGAAGATGGCTGTTTCAGATCAAACGGGAGCGTACGTGGAGCCCTGTACAAACGTGGAGTGCTCCCTTTATGAGCGCGCGATGGCCGAGGTCATTTTGCCCACAATTTTCAACTCTCCTACTATTTCAAGGTGATAATAGACCAGCCTACAAAATAACTTTGACTTCATATGTAAAATTGCGCATCGTTAAATGGTGTCATTTTCTGTTGCACACGGTGATGCTCTTTTCCCTTGCAGTCAGAAAGTTGGGTGTCAATCTGAATCGATGAGTTCCATGAACACGTGAATTAATACCGCTGAGCAGTTTAAAACAAATTGGGCACAGCATGTAAGATGAAACTCAACCATTGCCGTAGGCTTGCCCCCAAACGTGTTGGCGCTGACATCTTTTGACACAAATAGTGAAGTGGCAGTTTACAGACATCACCTATCAACCTTCCCGCTGGCTGGAACACGTAAAATGCGCGCATAAACAGGATGTATTTTTCTGCTCGGGCACAATCGGCATTGCCGGAGCCCAACTTCGGTAGAACGTTGAAGTTCTGGTGACCACATTCATGATTTGATGGAGCGCGTGGTAGTAGATTTGCCTTCCTGAATATGTGTTCGTACATGGCTCGTCAAAGAGGTTCCTTCGGCCGTTGGAATGGCAGTGTCCGCCTGGTTACAGGCCGACCAAGAGTCGCGTAGTTGCGTAGCATAACGAAGATTTCCCGTTTTTTGGATAAGGGCCGCAAACAAAATGGGCCCGTTCAACCTTCATTAGAACAAGGAGATGGTGAATTCGAAGCGCTAGGAATAAGTTAAGCTCAGCACGGAATCCGATTTAAAATCCGTCCAAGCAGTTGATATCTTCGGTATTTGTTCTCACTTTGTAGCTGAACTGTACCTATAATCTGAACTAACGGTGCCGTGCCCCCAAAACAGCAGACGTTCTGTCACCCGATGTTGTTTTCTCATGAGATTTTGCAACAAAGAAATTTGTGTTTCAAGGAAGTGTTAGATCCGTAGCCTACGGTGGGTAGCAGATAAAATGTCGCTGCTCGTAAGTGAGTCCATAAGATCGGTGAATCAGTAACGTCAATATTGTATTCATGTTGCGGGGAAAAGGCGTCTGGGCTCGCGTTGGACGGACAAAACAAAGAAGTCAGCTACAAAATGATTTACCCGCAATATCTTAAGTCATCCTCATCTGAGGGGTTTATTTTGAAATTGCGGGGTCAAGGAACCCCGCTGTACCCTCCATGGGAACGCCACTGCGCTGGAGGACTAAGGATGATAGTCTTGGGGGTGATCGTTAACTTTTCCTTTGCAATTTTGCCTTTCTTTTTAACTTCTCTCTTTCGAACTTTACCTTTGTAATGTTCCGGCCGAACAAAAATATGGGGGGAGGGGAGGACAAGCCAACATTGCTGAGTTTCAGCTCAACGTTGGGGACGGCAATTATGGCCCTTACAACTGAATACAAATCGACGCCCTTGTCCGTTTCAGATTTTGAGGGAATATGTGCACCATTTGAAGGCAAACTCGCCTTAACGACTCCTGGTTTAGTTCAGTCAAACACTCAGAATGGCCGAAAATGATGTCCCGGACAACGACGGTGACTGGATGACGGTGGGAGCGCGTCCGCGCAGGAACGCCACCCAGCACCCCAAGCCCGTGCCGGACTCGACAGCGGAGGACACCGCCGCCCGAAAGAAGCGCGCCACTAAGGACGAGCCGGGCCCGCCCAAGCGAGCCGAGCGCAAGGACCCGGACTGGCACCTCGTGATGCGCTCCCGCCAGGCGCTCACCATGCTGCGAGACGAGGACTTCGCGCTGACCCGGCTGGGCCAGATCCACACTCCCGAGCCGCGCAAGCCGGAATCGCGGCCCGCCAACCGGTCGCGGTTGGGCGCCAAGTTCCCCATGAGCATGGCATCGGACCGGCCGAACCGGCCGGTGGCCGTGCTGCGGCGCGGCGCGCGGCTCACCATGCCGAAGTTCGACCTGCCGCTCGGCTCGGAGGCAGACTTCCCGAGCCTGCGGGCCGACGACGGCGACGCCTGCAGGCCGGGCGGCGAGCGGCGCCGCGCCAGTGTGGCGCTCAAGCTGGACGAGTCGCTGCGCTCGATGGCGCAGCAGGCGGAGCCGGCGGCGTCGCCGGCCGCGCCGCCGCTGCGGCCGCCACCAGCGGCGCCGGTGCCCGCGCCGACCCGCGCCGTCAACTACTCGGAGGCGGTGTCGCGCAGCCGGCCGAAGCGTGAGGCGACGAGGAAGTCGGAACGGCGCGACCTAGTCCGCGAGGATATCCGCGAGGACGTGGCCATGCTGAAGACAGTGACGGCGCCGGCGCCGGCCGAGCCACCCACTACCGGGGGCGCCGCCGCCGCCACCGCCGCTGTGGTCGGCGGGGACAAGCCGGCGGCCGCCGACGGGGCCAAGGCCGAGACGGACGAGGCATCAGCCCGCAAGAAGGAGAAGCGGGCGTTGAAGAAGGCCAAGAAGAAAGAAAGCCAGCTGATCCTGGCGCGGATGAACGCCAGCAAAGACACGCATGTGCAGCTGGTGACGGCGCACGCCTTCCAGCGGCTACACGGTTCACATGCGGCCCGCTGGCGCGCGCGGGGCCCGGCCGAGGCGGTCGATCTGCGCGCCGCCGACCAGTATCCCAGCCTGGAGGAGACGACGGCGCCGGTGCGCGCGCCGGACGAGCCTGGTGAAGGTGCGTCGCCGCCGTCGCCGCCGCCCGTCAGGCGCCAGCAAAGCGCGCCCAAGTCCTACAGCAGGATGCTGCGGGAGCTGCCCAAGAAGCTGCCGGCACCCGGTGAGGACAGCATCGAGGTGCTGGTGGTGGAGACGAAGAAGAAGAACCCGAAGAAGCGCACACCGATTGAGATGAGTCTCATGGATCTGGCGGATCGCACGGTTAGTGGCAGTTGCAGCGTAACTAATGGTGGTAGCGCAGGCATGACGCATCAGGTTTTTGCATCGGCGTCGCCCTTATTCTGTTAGATCTCTTCAACAGTATCACTCTTGCAATTATATGAAACGAACGCGCGCTTTGAGTGTATTACCTAAGCCAGCTTTTTTGTGAGCCTGGCCACGCGCGTACCGATGTGGAGCCAGCGTGTGTCGTGTCCATTGCGTGCGGACGGGCGGCCTGTGGCCGGCGCAGGCCTTGTGCCGGCGTCGGGCGCTGTGTGACGGCGGTCCGGCCTGTGCCGACAGCCGGCGCCGCGGCCCAAGCGGCGGGACGGCGTGCGCGGCGGCGCGCCGAGCCGGCGGCCGGTGCAGCTGACGCGGCCCGGCGCCAACCGGCTCGACTCCACCGTGCTTGTGCGCCACCGCGGCAAGGAGCGGCTCGTGCCCAAGAAGAAGAAGCCGTCGCTGTTGAAGCGGGTCATCCTGCGCGAGCGGGCCGAACGGCGGCGCCGCCGCGCCGGCCCGGCGGCCGAGGCTGGCGGCGACGAGCCCGACGCCGTCGCGCCGGTCGAGCAGCCGACGCCGGCGGGAGCTGACCAGCAGAGTGTTCTGTTGGCGGCCCTGCAGGGAATCCCGGCGCCGGAGCCGCGGCCTGCTCACTCTCAGCTGGCTACACTGGCTAAGGCTCAGCCCGGGCTCACTCCAGCGGCGGCCGAACTAGCTACCGTAGCAACTCCCAAGTCAGTTACCACAGCAACAGCCCAGCCGGTGACTGCAACGCATCAGGCCAATGCGGCAACAGTGCAGCCGTTTGCTCCTGCCAAAGTACAGCCTGTGACCCCAGTTCAGCAGGGCGACCCAGCAGCGGCACAGCAGTGTGCATCACCAGCAGCGCAAGCGGTTGTCACAGAGCGGCAGTCGACCCCAGCGAACGTCCAGCCGGCCAGCGCAGCCAGGCAGGAGCGGCCAACCCCCGTGGAGGACCAACAGCCTATTACCAGGACTAATTTATCAGGTCTGTTATGGCCCGCTTGGTGCACAGAATGAAAGTGTACAGGAAGAAACGAAAAATAACAATTTCCTGGCGTGCTCTCTTTATTTTTTGTATGACATCGTGGGATGTTGTATCGTATAGCATCGTTGTATAACATCGTGTTTTTTGCAACATCGTGTTTGGCTTGTACTGTCTCATGCACTAGGTTTGCGAAGGATGTACCATCTTTGCAGTGCAGCAATGCACATGCCCCTCTGTGCGTTTTGTTATGTTCGAGCCCCATGCTTCGGTGTTGTGTGCGTCATGGTCTGCAGGCAGTCCATCAGGCCGGGTGTGTCTGGTGTTGGCAGAGCCGCCGGCGGCGGACGTCGACAGTGACGAGGAGGCGCCGCCGAGCCGCGGTCCCAGCTACGAGCCGACCCTCAGCGTCGACCCCAAACTGCTCATCCACAGCCGCAAGTTCAGGGAGTGAGTGGCCGCCGGCGCCGAGCGCTGGTGTAACAATGACTGCCACCACAGCCGGACACGTATCGGTGTGGGTGTGTGTAGCCCGGCAGCTGCCGTAGGTCTAAACCATTCCCGAGGATCCACTAAGCCGTGTGCCGTTTTCGAGAAGTGGTCGGCAGCAGCAGCTGTACCTGCCGTCTCCGTGTGCATGCGTGGCTGCGTCTGACGGCGTGTGTGGGCTGACGGTGCGTGCCCGGCGGGCCCGGCGGCCAGGATACTGTCAGCAGACCCTGAGTCCCGAGATTGACGACACGGCCCGGCTGCTGCTGCAGGACCTCACCCGATTCCAGGACCGGCTCTACAGCCGCGACCCCATCAAGGCCAGGTCAGCAACCCGCACCGCCGGCCGAGCCGGGCCGCGAACGGCCGCGCGGACGGAAATCTGGCGAAGGCCTCGCCTTCAGACGTTATTCGTGGCTCTCCGTCGTCACGCGGAGGCATGTTTTCTTCTTTCTTGCTCACCTGCTCGCCAGCTTGCGTCCCGCTGCTTGGAGAGATTATAAGGGGATTACCGTTGCATAGGCAACGTACGAAAAATATTGCGCTTCAGTATCGCCAGCCGTCGGACCGGAGCGCGCTGCAGTGCGGTGGTCAGCTGCTGGGCCCGGTGAGTATCACCAGCCGTCGGACCGGAGCGCGCTGCAGTGCGGTGGTCAGCTGCTGGGCCCGGTGAGTATCACCAGCCGTCGGACCGGAGCGCGCTGCAGTGCGGTGGTCAGCTGCTGGGCTCGGTGAGTATCGTCAGCCGTCTCACCGGAGCGCGCCGCGGTGCGGTGGTCAGCTGCTGGGCTCGGTGGGTATCGCCAGCCGTCACACTGGAGCGCGCCGCGTGCGGTGGTCAACTGCTGGGCGGTGAGTATCGTCAGCCGTCACACCGGAGCGCGCCGCAGTGCGGTGGTCAGCTGCTGGGCCCGGTGAGTATCACCAGCCGTCGGACCGGAGCGCGCTGCAGTGCGGTGGTCAGCTGCTGGGCCCGGTGAGTATCACCAGCCGTCGGACCGGAGCGCGCTGCAGTGCGGTGGTCAGCTGCTGGGCTCGGTGAGTATCGTCAGCCGTCTCACCGGAGCGCGCCGCGGTGCGGTGGTCAGCTGCTGGGCTCGGTGGGTATCGCCAGCCGTCACACTGGAGCGCGCCGCAGTGCGGTGGTCAGCTGCTGGGCCCGGTGAGTATCACCAGCCGTCACACCGGAGCGCGCCGCAGTGCGGTGGTCAGCTGCTGGGCTCGGTGGGTATCGCCAGCCGTCACACTGGAGCGCGCCGCGGTGCGGTGGTCAACTGCTGGGCTCGGTGAGTATCGTCAGCCGTCACACCGGAGCGCGCCGCAGTGCGGTGGTCAGCTGCTGGGTGCGGTGAGGCGAGCCGGGCCGACGTCGTTAGCCGGCGGGAGCTGGCGGCGGCAATAGTGGCCGCTAGGCTCTGATTAACGAGCTGCCGCCAACGGAATACCGCCGAGGCGACTGAGAAACGAGCCGCAATCGGCCCCTCTGCTGTCCGACACCGCCGCTAAATGCTGCGGACGGAGACGATATCGTGCAGGAGACTGGGAAGCTCTGCGCTCTACTCGACAATGTGGAGTTGACACTCTTGTTAAGGCGCAGGGGTGGATGACGCGCGCTGTCGTGTTGATACGGACCTCTCCCGCTCGGGAAACTGCGTGGTCGACACTCGTGGTCGACACTCCGGCGAACGTAGCCACAGTCTGACGCACTGGTCCCTGCCAGCAGAGCGAGACCGCTCAGCGAGCTGCTTCGCTCCTTGCTGTGACACGTGTGGTAGCTGTCGCGCGCGGAGACTGCTCGAGCCATGGAGAGGTGCTTTGCTGTGTTCTGGGCCGTTAGTTATTATCACATTGTTGAGACCCTCCGCATATTGATGCTCTGACAGGCCTTATTCGTGGCTCTGTGTCTAACATTCAGGGCCGAATGCCAGCCAATGCTGGCGGTGACCATCAGCCTTGCGCCTGATTCCGCCCCGGCGAAGTCGACTACACCTCAAAGCGCGTTGTACTTATTCCAACTCTGGCCGTTAGCGCAAGCCAGCATCAAGCCGACTGCGATTCCAAGTCGAGAGGATGCGGCTTATTTGAATGAATTCCAGCGGAGTCCTTTCCGTGTCAAAAATAAGAGGTACCTAAACCGGTCACGAGCTGCAAAAAGACCGCATTGGAACCTGCACGTTCAGCGGTTTTACTGCTCGTGTAGCGGCGGTCAAAACAAGATATGATGTTACCAGACACCTGCTCAACTCCGATGGAGCGGAGTCGGCTCCCCGTGTAGATCATCAGCGTTTGTCATCACCATGCAGATGCTACCTAAGGCCCACAATTTTATCTATGGCCAGTACTTACTACCGACGGACAATAGCACCTGTTACACTAACCATTTAGCCAGCATACCAGCAACGAATCCCGGCAGCGATGCGCCTCTGGCGACAGGGAGGTGTTTCCGGACATGCCCAGGTCTCGGTGGTCCGTGCGAGCTTGGTTTTGGTCGTCTCCCTGTGTTCGCATGAAAATAGTCGTTTTGTATTTTTCCCGTAGGTTCGGGAGTTAATTCGATGTTTTTATCATTCTTGGTCGCCGTACATGGGACCGAGGATGAAGTGGACGGCTGGAATGTTCAATATCTGGTTTAGAGCGTCACCTGTCCTGTTATTAGCTGGTGCCGTGAGCCCAGAACTGGGCATCGTCCTCATGCAGAACGAGACGGCTACATTGAGGATGACTTTAGGGCAAAAACGTATGGAGGAGGCGCTCTAAACCCCAAACACCAACCCTTGCAAACGGAATGAGGATGGCTTTACGGCTGTGATCGAGAAGAGTACGCGTAGCATGGCCCTGATTCAGCCGGGGTGTGGCTTTCGCGCAGGTCGCGTCGGCGGCTCGTCTATGGCCTGCGCGAGGTCTCCAAGCATCTGGCGATAAAGAAGTTGGCCTGCGTCATTCTGGCCCCGAACATCGAGAAAATCGAAAACGAAGGTACATGACAAGTGCTCATTTTGTGCTGTACTCGCATATTACAAAATTCATTGTCCTGCCAGAATGCGGCGTGCTGCTTTCATAACCCTGGTCCTGTTTTTCTTTCTAAGTTGCTCAACCAGTTCAGGATGTTTTTCCAGAGTGATCTCGCTGCTGAACTCTGGCACCGCGTGCTTGCGTTGTCCGTGCGCCCGAAACCCCAAACCGTCATCGCTCCCACGCCTGCCCGGCGGCTGAAGGAGCCGCGCCCAGTAGCATGGCGTGTGCGCATTCAGCCCGCCCCGTCACGAACCTTCAGCTTGCTCTGTCACGCACCTCCAACGCGCCCCGCCACGCACCTTCAGTACGCTGTCACGCGCCTTCAGCCCGCCCCGTCACGAACCTTCAGCTTGCTCTGTCACGCACCTCCAACGCGCCCCGACACGCACCTTCAGTACGCTGTCACGCACCTTCAGCCGATCTCGTCACGCACCTTCAGCCGGTCTCGTCACGCATCTTCAGCTCCGCCCCGTTCGCACCTTTAGCCCGCGCCCGTCACGCACCTTCGGTCCGCTCCGTCACGCATGTTCCGCTTTGTCACGCGGCGCTCGGTGCGGCGAGCGACAGCGCCGCGCCGGCAGGCCGCGCAGACGGCTGACCGGCGGCGCCTCCGGCAGGCGGTCTGGACCAGGCGGTGCAGAGCCTGCTGACACGGGCCTCGGAGCGCGAGGTGCCACTCGTTTGCGCCCTCAAGCGGCGCGCTCTCGGACACGCCTGCAAGAAGCCGGTGCCGGTCAGCTGCGTGGGCATCTTCAACTACCAGGGCAGTGAGGTGAGTGTGGGGTGGCCCGCCGGCTGCACGCCGGCCTGGGCGCAGTTGGTGGTATCGGTGCCTTTTCTAGCGTGAGATTGCTCTGGGGCAGAGCATGACGCCACACTCTGGTCGCAGGACAACTTCAAGCGGCTGATGCAGCTGACTGAGGCGGCGCAGGAACGGTACCGCACCATGGTGCGCGAGGTGGAGCAGGCGCTGCGGCCTCAGGTCAGTACCAGCCGGACGGGCCCCGCCACGCCACACCGCGGACCTCCGCTGGTTAGCCATGGTCAGTTCGTCCGTGCATGCTGTGCAGGCGGTGTGGACGGGGCCTGTTGTCTCTAGGTCTGCCAAACAGCCAGTGTCACTGTTTATGGAGTGATCAGTGTCCAATGCTTGCAACTTGACCGGCGCGTGCACCGTTCCACCAGCTGGTCGGCGCCTCCACCGTGAGCAGCTTGGTCCGTGTGTGGTGTTTACATCGCGACGCGCAGGCAGTGTCTGCAGTGCTGTATACACGATCGCCGCCCAGCCGGTCGGATCAGCCCTCGCCCGCCGCCCGCAGCCGGTCGAGTCGGCCTCTAGTCAGCTGCTGGGCGTGTTCGACCGCATCAGCCGCCAGCAGCCGGCCGAGCCGCCCAGCGCCGAGCCGCTGGACGACCCGACGCACACGCTGCTGGCCAAGCTGCGTGCCGTCGCGCTCGACAGCCCGCCCCAGGTCAGCGGCTGACGGCCGACGGTCGGCATAGGATGTGATCCGGGCTGGCAGGAGCGGCCGGTGTCGGCCAGGGGGCGGCCGAAGCATTTACCTACATGTAGTCATGTTTAATCAGGCACATTGTGCAACATTTCCTCAGCGTTTGTAAACCGCGCCATAGTCTGTGATGGCGTTTGGCTGGGACATGTGAGCAGTGTGACATGGGCGTCCAACTATGTGATAGAAACGGTGCACACTGCAAGTCACTGGCAGGTGGGCGCGGGTAGTCTGGCTGCTGGTGGTACAGATTACGCGTAACATATTTTATGAATGTTGCGGGAGCGTCGGTGGTGACTGGAATATCACGTGCATTGTGAGTGGCAGGCTTTCTTTCCGTTCATTGCTGCCAAACTACGGCAGAGTACCGCGCTGCGCCCCCTGACGTGTGTGATGATGACTCACTGATCTCCGCATCTGGCCAGCGAAGGGACATCACGGCCGAAATCAATGTTACTTGGACAGGATGAATCAAGCGGAGTGAGTGGCGTGACAATAAATATGTGATATAATAAATATATAAAGTGACAATAAATAAACACGTCATTAAAGGCACCGTTTCACCTTTTATAGGGCCTTGAACTGAGATAGCCATTTTCAAGACAATTTCCTGCAATTCACAGTTGTAAGACTGTACATCTGCTGTAATCTTCTGTGCAATCTTTGTAAGACTTCAAATCGCCTCGTCACCGAGCTGGGCGCACGCGAACTTGTGCAGACGATTTCGCTCCGCCCAGTTTGAATTCACCCAGAGATGTGTGACGCCGTAGAAATGCCACACAAGTCCGCCTCATTAATGGCCATATTATGTTCAAGGTCAATAAAAGTATGACCACCGGCTTTTTCGTGCATGAAATACGTCAGCACGAAGCCTCATCGACGGGCACCAGCTTCGTGCCTTAAATGCAGGCTTCGGTCACAGGCAGCGTTTTTTTTTTATACAAAACAGCTGGGCGGTTTTACCCGTTTGACGGACATGAGGTTGGGAATCGAAAAACGCCGTAAAATAACCGTAGAGTAGCCGTAGAAAAGCGCCGTAGCCGTAGAAAAGCGCCGTAGCCGAGGATGCAAATGAAATTAAAAAACATCGGCACTGAAAAATATACAAGAACACCACAATTATGATGACGTCGACAATGATATGGGCTTTTGGGCACGCAGACTAAAATGGCTGTATGGAACACCACCAGTATGGGCCAAAACACGCGCACGTAACGATCATGGGTTTTCACACGCATAAATTACCAAGCCACCATGCAGCGAGTTGAAGTGCTGCAAATGAGTGCCCGTCCGCTGCAGAGACAGTTCTGACACGGTAAGACTGACTACGACTTCGACCTTATAGAGACGCTCCATGACGAATCTGACGATGGCGCAATGAGGAGCATATTTATTCAAAAGTGGAATCACGTTCTATTAAACAGCCTGCACTAAAAAAAAAACATACGAAAAGCTACAAGTGAGGATTTTCCCATCACATGTCATACTTGCCTCGATACCTTCAAACGTAGAATATTCCATTTAAGAGCGTCTTCATCAGGATTGGTCTAGCTATTCCTTACGTTGGTCAATGAGTGGTTGTTTATTCAAACTCATACCAATCTCTGGAAACAGCACATACGTACCACCCGGACGTTGCGAACTAAGAATGCGTGCCGCGTACCGAAGTCTCGCTCAAGCCGATTATGTAGACATTTGAGGCTTGTCCTCATGCATTTAGTGTCATTCTTTGCGTCGTGACCTCCAAACACAGAGACGAGTGCTCCGTTGTAGGCCTTCTCATGCTGACACTTTAATATGACCCAATTTGGTACCAAATGTGCAAACATCAGGATAAACAGGGAAGAAGTCCATTGTTTGTCGTCAGGTCTATCAAAGGAGCGGGTAAATTTTGTGACGGAAATGTTTTTGCTTCGTCATCATGTACCTTTGCTTGTTTTGACGCGTGCAGCTTTGGTGGCGTGGGACGAAATCATGAAATGCTGCAAACGTAAAATGACGGCCACGCACTTCATTACGAGGTTAAGGCATTTCCTAATCAATATTTATAGGCTATTTTGATACACCTCACATTCAGCAGGCTTTCGTCCCGTTATCTTAGTCCTCGAAATTTCCAGACGTCCTCAGGTGTCTGGGGCTACCACAAGGTTGATACACTTTTCCTGGAATCAGAATGTAATCCTCGTTCCAAGAAAATTAAATATTTATAAATCCTGGTAAACCCATGTTTGGACCTTGGGCCGCCGGGCGTTGCACGCAGCGCGATAGTTAGCGTCACAGCTGGATCTTAGGCAGTGCTGTTTATAGGGCAGAGGTACTTCAGTTCGGCGCAATCTGTTTTCCACATCCTCCGGTACATTAGCACGTACATGTAAAGACCGATGTCCCGGCGTGTCTACAACTCAACTTGTTACGAACCGAGGCTTCGCCAACGTCCCGCCATGCGCGCCCTCGCCGAGCCCACACCGTGCACCTGGGACGTCACGGCCGCACCGGAGTGTGCGGTGCCGGCGCGCTCCCCACTGGCGCCACCCGAGCAGCGCAGGGCCGACGGCGCTCATCAGTCTGGCCTGCGGAACACCACCGTAGACACGACGCTGCCCGTGTAGCCGCCGAACGAGAAGCTGGGCGCAGGCACGGTGTGGTGGCGGCTGAAGGCCGGGCAGAAGTGCGCCACCAGCTCGTCGGCCGTCCAGTTGCAGGAGGTGAGCAGCAGCAGGCCGCCCGGCCGCACCAGCCGTCGCACGCTGTCCAGGTACCTGGACACGCATGACACAGCGCAGTCAGGCGGCGCAGGCGCGCCGAGCCAGCCGCTTACTGATGAAGCGGCGGGCCACGCCAGAGGGGGCATTTTAATACCCAACGCATCAAATGAGCCCAGTGGGGCTAGTCGGGTACATTTGACCATTTTACTTATGGCTGCGCGTGAGATGGCATTACAGTGATAAAAGTGAGTTAGCGGTTTATCACCGCGACATCAAGGGACCATTTCGGAGCTGCAAGCCGTGGATACAGAGGCTGAGTCAGCGGTGGCCAGGCCGCCGAAGCTCAACTTCCCAGGTTTTTGCTGTGCAATGCGCCTCCATAAAATATACAATGTGAGTTATGAATCACTTCGCTTTTCGCTACCAAAGTTGTCCAAGCAGCTCAGAACACACACTGGAGCCTGACACTGAATATGATGTGTGGCAGGTGCGCAGGTTGACGCCCCGCAAATATCGCTTGAGTGGACCGTCTGACCATCAGCTGACAATGGCCGAGGCAGCCGGTCTGGGACAAGGCTGACGTTATCAAGGCGTTACGTGCCACGCTAAAATCGTTCGCCATGACTTATGAAGCGTGATGGAGCGTCACACATCTCTGGGTGAATTCAAACTGGGCGGGGCGAAATCGTCTGCACATGTTCGCGTGCGCCCAGCTCGGTGACGAGGCGATTTGAAGTCTTACAGAGATTATACAGAAGGGATGATAGGGCGTAACCTTCTATCCTGACGTGAGTTTTTAACATTAAAACCTTAAAGCGCGATATCGTTGGCTTCCTCTCAAAATGAACAACAGGCTTGCCTTTACTTCGTGCTGCGAGATCGGTTGGGACTAAACCCACATTGCCTGTTTGGGACATAACGTAGCCAGGCGGCCGGGTTTCGCCCGGCGTAACCGGTACCAAAGGACAACGGCTTGTCGCAAATTTCCACAGGCACGTAACGTAATTTGTGGACAGCCCTTGACCATTGTTCGTTGAACTGAACGTTGTTCGTCGAACTGAAGCCCCGCTCGTCACTGGTTTGGTGATACCAGGGAGCGCGCAGATGGACGCGGCCGGCCCGGCTGGGGCGGGGCAGGACCGACACTGACCTGAGCCGCTGCTCCCTGGGCCGCTCCGGGCTGAGGCTGATGGCGTCGTAGGTGCCCTTGTCGTGGCAGACGTCGTACTGGAGCTGCAGGCAGGCCGGCAGCTCCGTACCAGACAGATCGCTCATGAAGTTGGCCGCCTGTGGCAGCGAATGGCTCCATGACGAGGTCGGCGCCGTACGCAGCCAGCCCATGGCGCCACCTGTGCGCCAACCACCAGCCAGGCACGGTGGCCACTTGATATACGTCATTTTAAGCACAACTTATAGCATTACAAGAATACCTAATTGTTCGTATATTTCAGATTGACAATTCAGATCTCGTAAACGGTGTATATGCAACGCGGCCTTGTGTATCCTCTTAAGCAGAGTGTGTTTGTTTAGGATCGCTTTCATTATCGTGAATATGGACGTCAAACACTGTCATGTATATCTCACAAAGCATACAGACACTTCTCCAGCTTCCAGTGACCCTATGCCAGCAAGACATGTCAGTGAGATGTTACCTGAAACGTGACGTCCACCTTCTTGTCCTGTGCCACCATACGTGCCAGCTGTATGGCACCCTCTGCGTAGTCCACCCCAGTCAGGTTTGTATAACCGGCACACGCCTGCCACGAAAGGAGGAATGAACCAATTGAACAAACATCAAGGCTGTCAGGAATAGCCCACAATGTCCACAGCAAAGCATAGTGTCTAGAGCACTCACTTCATGATCAATGATCACCAAAAAGGTCATTTGGCTTAAATCACCAGTAGATCATCACTGCACTGACTTACAATGATGATTGCCAATGCCTGTATATTTAATGGGTTTACTCATTGCTAACATGACACAACACTTTCATTTAATCAGCATTTACATGTAGCTGATCTGGACATTATTTACTCACCATTTCGACTAGAAATATCCCATTACCACAGCCAATGTCTAAAATAGAGGATGTTTTTGCTATTTCACTGCTATTCTCAATATACCTGAAAGAGCAGGATAAGGTTAAAGCTATTTCAAATAGGGATCATCATACACACCACTGTTTCAATGTCATCTTCACTCATGTCACAGCTACTGATTCTGATATAAACAGCAACTGTTCCCTATCGGCACCTTTAGCCGAGTATCGTAGCATGGTCTTATCCACCCTTAGCTATAATGACCAAAAAGGTAATGTAAATCTGCCCAGTAAATGTCTGTTTGGGGTGAATCATACTATATATCCCATGGCAGCATGGCTTTCAGAGGATTGGCTGGTTTGAATACTGCAACTGCAGCATCATTTGGGTGCCCAGAATACAAGTGGGTGGACTGAAATGATTTTTTGGGGTGACCATAATCTTAATCAATGAGGTCACAACAGAGAAAGGTAGCTTCGCCTTGGATGAGGCAGACAAGGTGACTTTGACAAGACAAGGCGACAAGGTGACAGGACTGCTGAAAGGACTGTTTTGGCCATTGAGCTTGCCCCATGCCTGAACATGGAGCAAGACATTTTAAGCACACATTTTTGTTACAAAAATATTATAAAAAGTGGCTGGTACATCACATCCCTACTTCATGAAGGGACTTCAAGGGACTACCAACTTCATGGGAAATGAAGTTGGTATGGACAACAGAAAGCAGTTTGTGAGTAGATTCTGGCACACCTGATGACTCTGTCCATGCAGTCTTCCCCAAACCAAACTTCTCCTACATCTTTGTGCGACTTAAAGTTGTCAATCTCCAGGCTGTATGTAGCATCCCAGCTGAAAAAAACAGGAGAACAATGATATGTATTCTGTGCATACTGCAAGCATGAAAGACTATTATACACACATACTACCATACAACCACATAAACTGGCTCATTAAATACAAAAAATGCTCAAGATAATTCTGAATGTGGAATGAAACTCACAACTCTTTAGTGCCTAGCTCCGATCCAACAAGCTCTTCAGTTGCCTCCATCTCTTGAGCCGTTAGGCTGAGATGTTCCTGGCTCCCCTATTATAGATGAGGCAAACTTGAATCAATCAGATCCTGAAAAGGCCAATCAGGCAGCTTAGCATAATTGCTAACATTTGACTACAAATCCCAATGAGATGATCTGTTCTGACAATGAATGGCCACCAGGCTAAGTTAAACAGCTATATGACCGTAATATGATCTGCCATAATATGGATGATTTGCAGCAAAGTGACCAATCCATTATAAGGTCTAGACCAGAAGGAATCATGGTGGCAAGATAGCAGACTGAGATCTAAGCTTTCCTGAGAATATTTCCACTGCCCAAATATAATGAGGACCTCAACCAGCATTGTCTTGGCGCAATGTGCCCAACAAATAACTCAGGCCAGGCATGAGAGTAAAGCAAAATGGAAGCCCTCATTGACACATGCTGTCACCACAGGTTAATAGCCCAGTGGGCATACAGCTAGACATATGGTTGCAAGTGTCATACACATTTGGTCAACATCCAAGAACCCATGCTCAGTGTTTAATCTTGCACAAAATGTTGTTATAAGTGTCCATGCCATACCACCAGGCAATCATGTGCATGACCATACCAATTTTAGCACATCATGTGCATGGCATGATGTGTTAAAATTAAGTTACTCGATGCACTTGAGATAATTACACTTGTACTAAATACTTTCCTAACAGACTGTGGAAAAAATAAGCCAGCTTTAAATTATATGGAGACAAGGATCGATGGCTGTCAGTGTGTTCGAGGGGCCATTCTTGGCAAGGACTGACTTAAAACAGTCCTAGCAAAAGATTGGCGAGTTGTCTTAAACTCACACCAGCAACTTTCACAGGGCGGTGACTAACAAAAACCATGTCGGTATTATTTACCCTTATAAACGTGCGTACACGCACCCCTCACTTGGTACCCTTCACCATTTAGCGACTATCACGGTGATGAGATCGGAAATTGAAACATCTGCGCTGCTTTCACTCGGTCAGTGCCATTTGCATTGTAAATCGCCTTTTTCGTGGTGGATAAGTAGAAAATCTACATGCAAAAAATGACAGTAATTCATAATGTTCTTAATCAGAACGAAGCACATAAACCGAAAGCTGGGAAAACAAATGACAATTTTCTTTAAATCCAAATATTTCTGAAATACCTGAATTCTTTTATATGACATTTGTGACGCTTTTGTTGCATTGTATGCGGCTCGCTTATGTGTTTAGTGCCTAGAGTGTGATGGTAGGAAGCGTTGATATGGGAATGACGAGGGGGGTTCAAAAATAACGTGTGGAGATTATAGCCAAGATGTCATGTGGTGGTGTGGTATATTATACTGCATCAGATGTATTAGGCTAGTTTTCTGGATTTGTTTTGATGGCTGATGTCTCGATTAAAGCGTATTTGGTCATATCTGAGAACGTGTGATGGCCCTTCAAACCTGCTACCGCCGATACTCTCTCCTGCTTTTGAGGCTGGGAAACTGGGGTAAGTCTTTTACATGTTATGTGTGGTGTGAAGTGTCACTGTACGTCTAGTGGGTATGTTGTATTAGTATTTATTACAGGGATAAAGATACAACAGTGATGGTATTTTTAGTATCTACGGTTGAAATATTTTCGAAATATTTAACATGTCAGGTTAATGTGTAATACCTATCTTTCATAATTCCAGTGTTTTTGGAAACATGATAACAACATAACTCTTTTATTCATAATCTTGGCTAATGTTTTTCCACAGATGGTGAAAGGGATGATTGATCCTGAGATATTGGATTAGGTTTGAGTACTTTATTTGTGTATCCATGGAACATGTATGTGCTACCATTGATGCCTTTGTACTTATTAGAATCAAACTGATATACATTACAGGTGGATGCCCTATATTAGTAGGTCTCAACAGGGGGAGAGGGAGTTCCATTTAAATTATCATGAAGCAGTCAACATATATTTAAGACTAGAGAGATAATTGTCCAGACATTGTTAACAAATTAGTGCTGGCTGGAAAATTATTTAGACACGAGCGTTTGTGGGTTTGTACACTTCATGCAATGAGCCATAAATTGCTTGCAAAAATAACCAAAGAGAGGTGCAGGTCTTCCACAGATATTGGAGTATTCAAACATTAGAGATATACCAGAGTTTAATTTTGTCATTAACGTGTGTTGCTTGCAAACAATTTCTATGTAAAGGACTGGACTGGACTGGACTCTGGACTTTTAAGCTGGTTATGGAACCTTGTTCATGTTATGAGGGAAGTATGCACATGGCTTATGTGGATTGAGGTTTGTTGTTTTGTTCTGGGTGAATAATTTGATCCAGGAAAGGAGTAATTTAATTGATCCTTTGAGCACATGAGCCTAAAAAGACTGGGGCATACTGCTCTAGATTTTTCATTCAACAAACACAATATAGGTTGATATAAATGACTGCATACTTAAAGGACCAAAATGTTGTGTGGTTATGTAGTGGTGTTATCAGTCAGAATGTTATTTGTGAAGGTTATTCCAAGTTTCATAAAGAAGACTAGCATATAAACTGATGATGAATAACACACCCTCATGATATACCTGTATGACCATGTTGCATGTAGTAACTGTTCCCTAAATGAATGGTACTGTGTCCCTTCATTGCTCCTCTGTATGCTTAATGTGTCTTGCAGATGATGCGAGGCAGTGAAGTAATATAAGGGAAGCAAGGAAGCCTGAGGTATAATGTTAAACCTAGCAACTATGTCATGCCCGTTTTCAAGCCTACAATTTTTCAGGTAAAGGACAGACATTCTCATCATGTAGACCTGGAAAGCTGTTAACATTTGAAGAGGTTGGGGAACTGCATCGTAAGCAGGCAAAGCAAAGCCTACTGGTGCAGGTTCAATCTGTGAATTCAGCTGTTCCACTGGAATCTTACTTGGAACAATATGGAACAATCATCAAGATGTTTCACTTCAAGACAAACAAAAAGGTAGTCCAGGTGGACAGGCATCTTCAGATCATTGATAAGAAAGTATTGCATGCATTAGCAGGCATTTCCTTTGTGGAGTTGTTGTCACTTCCATCAGCTGATAATATTGATAGACTTTTCAGTTCATAGGATGTTCCCAACTATGTATGCAGAAGGTTCTCTCTATAGAGATGTTGCATATGTTGGCAGATATTTTTGTCTGTGGAAACTGTGTTGCCTCTATCTGTGAAAGTCTGTTTATTGAGGTGACATGGCTTGTGTGGACAAAAGTGTTTGCATACCACTGAGATTGCAAGAGTGGAACTTCATGTTCACAAGTGCACCATCACCTGTACTGGCAGAACTTTCTGTTTGTGGAGCTGTCGTCGCGTGCGGAGGCGGAGGCGGTGTTGGCGCGCGCCCACCACCTGGACCCGGACTCCGTGGTGCCGGTCACCTCGCCGTTGCTCTGGCTGCGCGCCGACGGCTCACCGTCGGGCCGCGGCGGACCGGACGGCCCGCCGCCGCCGCCCCGTGTCATCCAGGAGGTGGCGCGCACCAACGCCGAGCTCGCCAGGCAGATCACTGAGTGTCCCACGGTGCGGAGACGCGCGCCGGCTGCTGACGCGCTCCACTTGCTTCCTCCGCGGTCGACAAGTGGTTATTACAATACGGGGAAGTCCAGCCTGCGTCATGTATATACTTATGCTTGTGTGATGGTGACGGGCTGGCGACTGGCATGTGACCCAATGAGGGAACTTTTGATATGAGCTGCTCACCCATGCCCTTACTGGCATAAATTGTGGACCTCCGATGTGTTAGACTCGTTTTTACTCCACTTCCTTTTACTTAGCCCCGTGATGAGCGTCCATTGAGTCATCGACTGTCATAGATGCGTGGCCTCAGTGCAGCGCAGTCTGCTGCCGACTGTCGCCCAGCAGTGGGCGTCGCCGCGCCGTGCGACTAATGCCGCGGCCGCTGACAGCTGGACGCGCAGCTGCTGCGCCACTACGAGCTGACGCGACTCACCGAGCTGGGTGCGCGGCTGCGCTACTTTACCTGCGAGCTGCTGGAGCGTGGCCTGGCCGGCCTGTTCCCGCACGCGCGCGTTCGTCCGTTCGGCTCGTCCGCCAACGGGTTCGGCCGGTACGGCTGTGACGTGGACATGGTGCTGGAGCTGGAGCAGCCGCGGCCAGCGGAGGTGAGCCGGGCCTGGTGGTGGCGCGCGGCGGAGCGGCTGTCGGTGTTCTCGAGGGGTGTAATGGTGCCGTGTTGGAGAACCGCACTGGGCTATGGACTGCTGTCAGGTCCAAATGTTGCAATGGTGTGAGAGCAATATGGCCATTTTTGGTTCGCACTAATGTTTGCTAGACATGGTAGATCTGTTAACACTTTTTATGTATTTATTATGATAAGTTATGGCATGTTGTGCACCATTTCAACCTGTCTGTCAATAAGTTGTGTAATCGGTTTGGTCTCTCTCTCTCTATCCCTCTCTATCTACTCCTAGTCTATGCTCCGCGATAGCGCTTCGGAGAGCGAAGCGCGCGATCTCCTCCGCGCTCGCGCGGGACCTAGGCAGAGAGCGCGGCAGCGAAGGGCGCGGCTCGCGCGAGCGAGAGCTCGCGCTAGAGAAGCGCGCGTCCGAGCTTCGATCGCGCGCGCGCGAGCGAGGCGCGAGCGGCTCTCTCAGCGGAGAGCGCGAAGCAGCGAGGCGACGAGAGCGCGCTCTACCGAGTCACGGCTCTTACGGGCGCAGAGCGGAAGCGCGCTCTCGCGCGACTCTCGCTACTTCTTCGCTCAGCAGAGCTGAGAGGCAATTCTCGCCGCGCACGCGCGACGACAGCAGCCTCGAGCCGAAGCTGAGCTCTCTCTCTCTCTTCTCTCTCTCTCTCTCTCTCTCTCTCTCTCTCTCTTCTCTCTCTCTCTCTCTCCTCTTCTCTCTCTCTTCTCTCTCCTTTCTCTCTCTACTCTCTCTCTCTCCTCTCTCTCTCTCTCTCTCTCTCTCTCTCTCTCTCTCTCTCTCTCTCTCTCTCTCTCTCTCTCTCTCTCTCTTCTCTCTCTCTTCTCTCTCTCTCTCTCTCTCTCTCTCTCCCCCCCTCCCTTCTCCTCCCCTCTCCTCTCCCCCTTTCCCCCCTCTCCTCTCCCTCTCCCTCTCACTCCCTTCCCTCTCACTCTCCCTCTCCCTCTCCCTCTCCCTCTCCCTCTCCCTCCGCCCCCCTCTCCCTACCTCTCCTCTCCCTCTCCTCTCCCCTCCTCACCCTCTACCCTCTCCCCTCCCTCTTTTTTCCCTTTCTTTCTCCCCCTCTCTCTGGCTCTCGCTCTCGTCGCTCCTGCTTTTGCTCTCACTCTTGCTCTTGCTCTCGCTCTCGCTGTCGTTCTTGCTCTTGCTCTTGCTCTCGTTCTCGCTCTCGCTGTCTGCTCTTGCTCTTGCTCTCGCTCTCGCTCGCAAGAACTGGATGTTATTAACTGGAATGGAGCTCACTAGGGCGTATGCGGAGATAACCCGACCCATGTCACTACAGGCGGCGGACCGGCTGGCGTTCCAAGCGATGGCGACCAAGTCCGACAGCCACGTGCAGAGGCACCGCTACCTGTCCGTCATCAGCGATCTGATGGCCAACCTAATGCCTGGCTGTGAGCAGGTGAGCCCCAGTCAAAGCTTGCCGCCTGACACACTGGATATATTGGGGGGGGGGGGGGGGGCTGCAGTGCACGGTGTGGAGCTGGCCCTCGTGAGTCCAGCAGTCACGGTCAGGATATATTGGGGGGGGGGGCTGCAGTGCACGGTGTGGAGCTGGCCCTCTTGAGTCCGGCAGTCACGGTCAGGCTGGTGTGGCGGTCAGAGGGAGGCAGATGGCATTTGCTATCCTATGAATTCGGCAGATGAGGTCCTCATGCTCATTTCGAACTAACCTGCATCTTGTGGGGTCCTGGTTAGTGATTAGCAGTTGGGATCTGCATACTCGACTACGATTTGCTGGAGGTGCACATTTGAGCACTACAGGCATGTTCATTGTTCATATCAGCTCAGGCCATCGAGCGCCTGCGTTTTGCTCGGTTTCGTGTAAAATGATGATACACCATTTTTTTCTGTGGTTTTTAATTTTCATAGATAAGACGGTAGTACTAGCCTTATTCCTCGGAAAAAAACAGGAGAATGGAGATATAGTTCGGTTGGTATTTCAGCAACATGCCTTTATCGAAACAATAGCAGAAGTAAATTAGTTCTAGTTAGTAAGTTGGTAAGTAAGGTTTTTTTCGATAAATGCATGCTGCCGAAATATCAACATAATTTTATCTCCATTCTCCTGATTTTTCCGAGGAATAAGGCTAATACTACTGTCATATCTATGTGAATAATGCTCCTCGCTAATGCACTGAACAACTTACGCGTTTCAATTTTGGGCAACGGGAATGAAAGTAAGGGTGTGCTTCCCCACACTTAGATATTCTTGTGAATTGGTGGTTATAATCGCAACAGGACAGTGTAGTAGAACTTGATAGCCAAGTTAAGGTATATCTTGCAGTGTTTTTTGTTGCTGCTGTTGATGCACTTTTTCCCAGGTGCGGAGAATCCTGAGGGCAAAAGTCCCGATCATCAAGTTTACTCAGTCGTTAACTGGCGTCGACTGTGACCTGTGTATGAAGAGGTTGGTGCCAGTGTTGGGGAAAATCACAATGTGTAGATGGCTTGCTTTGCTACGGCGACGCCATGATTGGATTAGCATGTTGAGTCTTCGGTGAAACGTCGTCTTGATGGAGTGAGTTGTAAGCTGCGCGGCCGTTGGATTGTCTGCTTTGAGCTTAGCACATGGGATCGGTTGTGTCGGTCTGACCCAGACGGACTGTAGCTCAGCTCAGCACAGCTCAGCACTCAGCACATGGGATCGTCTGTGTCGGGCTGACCCAGACGGACTGTAGCTCAGCTCAGCACAGCTCAGCACTCAGCACATGGGATCGGTTGTGTCGGTCTGACCCAGACGGACTGTAGCTCAGCTCAGCACAGCTCAGCACTCAGCACATGAGATCGTTTGTGTCGGTCTGACCCAGACGGACTGTAGCTCAGCTCAGCACAGCTCAGCACTCAGCACATGGGATCGTTTGTGTCGGGCTGACCCAGACGGACTGTAGCTCAGCTCAGCACAGCTCAGCACTCAGCACATGGGATCGTTTGTGTCGGGCTGACCCAGACGGACTGTAGCTCAGCTCAGCACAGCTCAGCACTCAGCACATGGGATCGTCTGTGTCGGGCTGACCCAGACGGATTGTAGCTCAGCTCAGCACAGCTCAGCACAGCTCAGCACTCAGCACATGGGATCGTTTGTGTCGGGCTGACCCAGACGGACTGTAGCTCAGCTCAGCACAGCTCAGCACTCAGCACATGGGATCGTCTGTGTCGGTCTGGCCCAGACGGACTGTAGCTCAGCTCAACACAGCTCAGCACTCAGCACATGGGATCGTCTGTGTCGGGCTGACCCAGACGGACTGTAGCTCAGCTCAGCACAGCTCAGCACTCAGCACATGGGATCGTCTGTGTCGGTCTGACCCAGACAGACTGTAGCTCGGCTCAGCACAGCTCAGCACTCAGCACATGGGATCGTCTGTGTCGGTCTGACCCAGACACACTGTAGCTCGGCTCAGCACAGCACTCAGAACGTGGGATCGTCTGCGCCGGTCTGACCCAAACGGACTGTAGCTCAGCACAACCCAGCACTCAGAACGTGGGATCGTCTACGCCGGTCTGACTCAGACGGGCTGTAGCTCGGCACAGCCCAGCACTCATCACATGGTATTGTCTGCACCGGTCTGACCCGAACGGACTGTTTGTCTCTGAATCTGATGTCCCCCGACTTGAATGACCTCCTCAAGTGGCGTGCTTGCGTTGCCAGGAGCGGTCTGCACATGGCGGAGCTGCTGTACATATGGGATCAGCTGGACGGGCGCGTGGCGCCGCTGGTGCGCGCCGTCCGACACTGGGCTGAGAAGGTACCGTCAGTGACCGGACATCCTGTCGTCCGGCCGTCCCGGCCGCCCGCCACTGGCGCCCGGCTAGCCATAGATGCCGACAGCGTGTTGGCCACAACACTGTCACTTCCCTTCAAAGCAGCCCTCAGGCCCAGTTGCCGTCCATGCTGTATGTGCTGCAAGTTCTTTGGGTAATATTCGCATCAATATGTGCGTCGAAAAAGCCTATGGGTTGTAGGGGCATGCGTTTGGAATGAATGCTATCTGTTGTGTTGTGTAGAAATCCGTCAATCATTATATTGAGAGGTTGGTGATGAGATGTTCAGGCCGCTCGTCGGAGGAATAGCATTTGTGGGTAAAGTACAGGGACGTATTGCTGAGATGTTTTAATTGCGTATCATTGCAGCTCTGATGGTGTCATCTGTCCTCCAGCGTGGTTTGCGGCTCTAGAATATTGAACTTTGCGCCATTTTGAGCCTTGGGCGATAAGATTTGCCCTTGCCTGTTATTTTTTCTCGTCATCGGTAAGCCCGTCGGCATGGTAACGGGATACAGTGCAATACGGTGCGTTCACACCATGACCAGGACCTTATGGCATCTGCGCCCGCTAGACGGCTGTGATGTTTTCAGGTGCGTCTTACCAACGCCATATCGGGATCGTCTGGGGCGGGTCGCTGGATCTCCAACTTCGGCGTCACCCTGCTGGTTATCTACTTCCTGCAGACTCGGCCCGTGCCCATCCTGCCTTCTGTCAACGAGCTGATGCGGCGTGCCAGTGAGTGTCTGACTGCGCAGACACCTACCGGCGAACAGTTAAATCTGGATCACGTACAGCTGTTGACGGATGATGTTAGACTTGTCATACGTACGAAGGGAATATTACGTGATATTCCGTCGTGACGGTAGTGGAAGGGTGGCGGTCGAGACAGTAGGACATTCGTGGCTGCAGCTGGAGACGAGATGGTGGGGCCGATGTTTGGTTGATTTCACGTGGTGCAGCACATTGCCGTGTGAGTCGACATCCAAAGGAACCCGGAGAACCCCGAGAAAGCACCCGAGCACTCATCAGAAAGAATGGTGCAGTTTTCACTCCGGTGGAAGTCATGGAAGTTTTAAATTTGAGCCTGTAAGAATGACAGCCCGGCACGAGATTTAGCTGGTATCTGCGCGGAATAGCAGTCGAGAGTGGTGCACAGGTAATCAGGATTTCACGATCAGTTTGAAATGAGTGGCAATCAGTTGTAAACCCCGTCCTCTGGCAGCTAGACGTTTGCTCGCTTCGACGGGCGGCGGGCATGACGACCGTGTGCCCTGTCTGAACGCCCGTCGTGCTGGCAGGGCCGTGTGACGCGGTGGAGGTGGACGGCACGGTGTACTCGTTCCTGCGCGATCCGAATCTTCTGCCGCCGACAACCAACACGGAGACGCTGTCGCAGCTGCTGGCCGGCTTCTTCGCCTTCTACGCCGAGCAGGACGTGGAGACGCGCGCGTTGTCGGTTGTGAGCGCCGGCGACTTCCCGCGGCCGGCAGACAGTCAGCTGTACGTGCAGAACCCGCTCGACCACGAGCTGAACGTCACCAAAAACGTGTCGGCCAAGGAGAGCCGGCGGCTGGGTGTCGAGGCGCTGCAGGCGGTGCGCCTGCTCGAGGAGGGTCGCTGGTGGCCGCTGTTACTGGGCGGCGCCGACGCCGGCCAGCTCGGCCAGGCGCTCTGCGCGCCGTTCTCGCTCCGCGCTCTGTTCGACGACGCAGAGACGGAGCAGCAGCAAGGCGCCGCCCAGGAGTCGCGGCGAGGCGGTGCCAAGACAGAGCCGCGGCGGGCAGCTGTTGAAACGGAGCAGCAACCAGCAACTGCCGACACGAAGGCACACCGGAACGCAGCGAAGGCGGCCGAGCCAGCTGCGCGGCCGGCTGCAGAGAAGGCGCTACGGCGGGCTCCGTCGCAGGCGGCCGGGTCGGTGGCGCGGCAGACCTCGGTCGCTGCGACCTCAGCGCCGCCGAAGGAGCGAAGAGGAGCGCCTCTCCCGACGAAGGAGCGACCGAGCGACAGTCTGGACCTGGCCGGTCTGTTCCTCAGCGCGCACCGTGGTGGTGACGCGGTGGCCGACCAGCACCACGGACTCAATGGATCGGGCTCCATCCAGCTCCGTGTTGACAGAGCACCGGGCAGCGAGACTGCACATGACCAGACGACAGCGCCCAAGTCGAAAAGCAAAGGCAAGAAAAAGCGCCGGACGGCTGGATCATAGCGAGTGTAGCAGGACTGGCGTGAATGGCATGCCGCAACTTGCCACTTGCGGCAGACAGTAATGTGATGAGCTGAGGATTAATACAGCTCCTTTATGAGATGCTGCCGCATGACCGTTTGCGGCCGACGCGCCCTAAAATTCCGTTAACAGATGCTGGCTACGGAAATGGCATCAACCAAAGCGGTACGTGTCATGGCTGTATGCATAACCTGGCGCTCGCTGCGTATTTCGGATGAAACACTAGCAGCATCGATGTCATGAACGAATTCAGACAGTGGTGAGCTATCCGCAATAAATGTATGAGGTGGTAGTACGCCCATAAACCTGCCGCAAGAAAATAGGGGCGTGTCCCCCGGTCACGGCCGGAGGGTTTGACCACTGAGAAGACCGCCGCTGCCAAGCGTGTTCCAGGCAACACAAGACAGCTGAGAATTTGATGGTCAATACGCCCTAGATCAGTGGCCTAGTTCCGTCTGCCCGCGCGCTCCCGCCATTTAGCGGCTCTTCATGCGTGGTAACGTCTTCATTCGATGACATTTGTAAGGTTTTAAAGGCTGCATTCTCTAAATTCTCATCTGAATTTTGTCGGGACAATTCTAAATGCACTAGTGTCGCGTGTCCTGAAATAATGCCGCGCAACGCGGCAGCGGACTGTCCACCCCTCTTTTCGTGACCGCCCCGTGATCGCCCGATTCGATTGCCTCCCTCGTGACCGCCCCATGATCAACCCCTCCTCCACCACCCCGCGGTTAACCTCTTATTCGTGACCACCACGTGACTGAGTGGTGTCCCGTCTCACCACACACCCGACTGCCTGATGGTTAGCAGCGGGACAATCGATACTGCTGTGGAAGGCGACTCAACGCGGCTCGTCCATGCATACCAATGTAATGCAACAGACAACCGCCTGTCGAACGCATGCTGGTGAAATAATCTGGACCCATTCGCGTTGCAGCATAACAAAATGGTATTCACCTTCAGCTCAATACTGGATATTGGTCTCGCGTGTCATGTTTTTTTTTTTTGCTCACTTATTCCTTGCTGGAGACAGCACTACCCTTCCAATAAAAGTTAAAACGGCCATTTAAATGTTGCAAGCCTGTAACCAGGTGCAGCAATATCTTGCATCACCCCCGGACCGTTTACCGCGTGTAACACCGACGAACATCACCTCGTGTTCCGTTCTGTGTTGGCCGCTCCACCCGCTGGCTCCAGCACCAGTCAAAGCCAGTCAGACCCGCATCCGATAACTATATTCGGCGGCGGCCAGCCCAGTGTACACGCGTCAGCCAGCCGCCGCGCGGTCACCGCTGCGCCGCATCCAAGAGCTCTAGGCGGCCAGGCGGCCCCCCGGGGTGGTGGCGCCACCCGTCCGCTCTCACAGCTCTCGGCGGCCGGACGGCCCCCGGGGTGGTGGCGCCACCCGGCCGCTCTCACACATTCGCGGGCCGGTGGCGCCGCCCACTACTGCTGCTTGGCCGCCAGCTTGAGCCGCAGCGACTCCGGCATGGAGGGCGGCGGCGGCCGCGGCACACGCAGAGCCACCTTCACACCGTCGTAGATGAACCACTGCAGCGCCGTCAGCGTGCCGATCATGATAATACGTGCCGTCAGGCCCTTCCACATGCCCATGAAGCCGAGGCTCTTGGCCACCTCGACGGCGGACGAGCCCTTGGCCATGTTGAGCTTGCTGACGATGGTGTCGGCTGGGTGGGAGACAATGGCGCAGAACACGCCGGCGATGTAGCCGGCGGCGAATGTGACCACCAGCTGCTCGGATTTGGAGCACTGGTCGCGCGGCTTGGGCACCACGTACCTGAGAGGCGGACGGCACAGTCAGGTAACAGAGACAGGCGCATGATCACACGGGTCACCGTCACATGGGTCAGTCATGGTATAATGGGTATACGGGCATAGACGGAACGGCTATATCCAGGTAACTGAATGCACTTAAAGCGCTGAAATCGCGTCGTATGATGACAATTTTAGACACACGTAATAAAACGATGACAGCGATGGCTGTATTTTCGACGGCACGCCGCGCTTTTCGAATGATAAGTTTGTATGTTCAGTTTTATGAAACTCGCCTGGCTTGAGCTATAGATAGGATGATGGTAGCTGGCCACAATCAGAGATAGCGTGGCCCTAGTCTCAAGGTGCATTGGAATGTTGTCTATTTATAGCCGACCCCGTCTCGCTGACACAAATCGGCGTCAATATGACGAACAGTCGCTGGAAGTGTGTTGATAGGAAGTGGAGGGAGGAGGCATGCTCGGATTGTAGGTAACTTTTGCGGGGTGTAATGATGGGTCTGTCATTTCACACATACTCGCGTCACACAAACAAAAGACATTTTCAGTTCCGCAGCCAAGGGCGGGGTGGACGATGTTGGGTTGAGGACTAGGAGAGTGACTAATGGATATAGCCCGCGGCACATGGCTTCTCACACCTCACAAAGCACAATACACAGCTAGCTGGCTCTGCTTGAACTGCTTATGGCAGCACTCACTTGCATTCTATGTTCTATGGAGAAATGGCTTACATGGAAAGCAGTGCAAGCAAGGCTGAAGAAGGCCATGGGTCGCAATGTTAAGTCAAATCTTTTAGAGCTACCACGACCACATTCGTTCATCTTTATAATCAATGACGTTTATCAAGTAAACACAGCCAAGGAAAAAAACACAGCATTGTCTATATCTCACGTGCAAGCTAAAAAAGCAGACAAATTCCCATTGTTGTTGTTGATTGGGGCTTTAGGGCGCGCCGACTACTGTGGTCATTTTGCGCCCATGACAAATTCCCATTTCGCCTTTGTTACAATCTGATCTCGTTTCACATGCGGAGGGTCACGCGTCACAAATCGCACACCTCCACATCTGCCTAGTGACGTTTAGGCTATCTTTATATCCTGCGAAATACGAAGTCCCCAGAGCCAGCAGGCCTGAGCAGCGCGAGCACAATTTCAGATCTTTCATGATGCCTAATCACATTCAGTGGCCATTAAATGCATTGCCATGCTTCAGCTCATGTCTAATGCAGTCATTAGGCAATTTCTCATTGAACAGCCATCGTGATTGAGGCGCACGCTGGTTTTCGTCAGTGAACGATCTCCGTACGGATCGTTGCACGCCGTGTGCGGGTCGGCGGGCGAGCCGTGCGCACTCGCCACCCCACCCATCCCTGAGGTCGTTCAGTTGCAGCGTGCCAACCACGCGGCCGGCGGACTCACTGGTAGAGGGCCTCGACGGTGCGCTCGAAGCAGGCGAACTTCATCATCGTGTAAGGGATCTGGCGGGCCCAGAGCGGCGCCACGCCCTTGTAGAAGCCCCACCAGCCCTCCTGCGACATGATGATCGGGAAGCCCTTGCGCAGCGTGGCTGGGAAACCCGGCATGGTCTGGATCCGTACCTGCCGACACGAACACACGCTCAGTGAGCAGCACCACCAAACACCAACAGCGGTCAAGAGACGCGACACTCGGGTGCAGACACGACAGCGGCGCGCAGCTTTCACGCGCTATTTGGCGGGCAATAATCCCCGTGCATACAACTTGCACCGCCGCAATTAACACTCACACCAGCTTGGCAGCCTCACCTTAACGGCCTCCATGGGAGCCAGCGCAATGTCGGCGAAGAACTCGGCCGACGCCGACGCCGCCAGGTACAGCGTTGTGCGCCACAGGAAGGCGTTCTCCTCGCCCATCATGTTCGAGTACAGGTTCTTGAAGACCTCGTAGAAGCCGAACTTGCAGAGGCCCTGCATCGAGTATCCGATGGCGGTGGGCGCCCAGCCGCGGCCCAAACCGCGCAAGCCCTCCTCCCGGACAGTCACCTGCGGAGCACACACACGGCCGTCAGCGGATGGTCAGCAGCGGAGCGGACATACCACCGCAGGCAGTGGGCGGACGCAGCCGTCAGTACAGCTCATAGCCGTGCTTTTGCCCTCGAGCAGCCTACTGCCACAACAAAAATAAGAAACGTTCAGCCAAAGTTACCGCTGCGAGCGGCTGACTGCTTTTGTCGTCGACGCGCTGACTGGGTACCTTGCTAAACTCACAGATCAGGATGTAATAAGACACGTGATCCGCCAGATGGGCTGTGCCTAAAAACTTATAATTGCCTCTACTACTGATCGCTCATCTAGTCCATGGCAAGACATACGTCACCCCAACAATGGATGTGAAACTGACTTTGCCAGATTGCCACTGCAGAAGCATACAAAAAATTATCCTAGGCCAAACTGAATATATTGCTAGACACAGTTTAAGGAAACATTCCATTCAACTAACACAAACAGCCATGACCTGGTTGTCACAACTACCATCAGCAGGTAGTAAAAATTAGAGCCCACTTTATTTCTAAGAGTTAAAAACTGGTATTGTTCAACCTTGAAGCCATTGAAGATGCCCTTGTACTTGTCGGCATTCGTCTGCAGACGACACTTGACCAGGTCGAGCGGCACAATGGCTGTGTGTGTGATGCCACAAGACAGGATACCGCCGAAGCCGGCGATCGCGAAGAACTTGGGTGAGCCGTATTCGCAGCTGTACTCGGGCTCTGCAAAACAGATATCAGCCAGCTCACTGCCAAGGTACGCATCGAGACGTGGTCAGATGGTCATGCACGGATAATGGGGACGTCGGTTAGCGACCACCGCAGAAGCGATGAACCGTAGCAAATTACGTGACCTGGCGACGAGAGCGTATAACGCGGTCGTGCGGCAACCAACATCAGGTGCCATCCCCAGCATGTCAGACGTCCCAGTGCCCATATCTGACCCTTGCTGTTGGCGTCCGGGTGCCGTACCTGCGGTGCTGAAGGCGGCCACATCGCGGCCGTGGACGAGCTGACGGCGGGGCGCCGACGGCTCACACTGGGCCACGGTCGGGAACGGGCTGGCGCGGGCCGTGTCCAACATTGAGCGGATCATGATGAGTGCCTGCAGGCAGAAATACAACCCACCTTTCAGTGGACACAGTTAAGTCACTGCCATGACCAGATGACACACATGGTCATTAAGGTGCACCACTCAGAGGGTTTGTTCCAAAACATGGAAGCCAGTAACATTTTGGTGGGTGATAATATGAATGTCAGTAAACCTCATGTATCTTTTAATATGCAGAGTACCCCCTCCAGCCATCCTTGGTTTATATCATTGCAATAGCCACTGCCATATGCCCATAATAACACAAAAAAACTCACAGCCCACAAAAATTCTTTTCTGGGGTGCCGACTGCAACTGCTGATCTTGCTGCAAGATAAAAAGTGAAAAATTAACTTGACCAATTTTTGCCAAGCTCAATCATGTTAACTCCTCAAACCCAGTACCAACAATGACACAGTAAATTAGTCACAGGTTATGAAAGCCAGTTGAGCTCATTTAGAAGATGAAAGTGGAACAATACACTGTTCCAGTCCATACTTCTCATTGGTGTCTAGAGCAGTATCAGATGTTGTTTGACAAGAGGACACATTCCACCTGTGATTGGAACATGACACTTAAATGTTTAAGAGGATCTTTCTGCTTGATAGGTGGAATAATATGCAACATCCAGAATAGCAATTCATGTACCAGAAAACAAACATAATTACACATCCAAAGAGCCTAGAACGGTCACATGTGTGGCAAAAAGTTTTTTGCTATGTTTTTCTTGACATGTTTATTTTCCCAGTGCATATGCCCAGACACTCACACATGCAGAACTGTCAATGGTCATGAGCTAACAATGAACAGCCTATGAAATGCTGTGAGGTACATTCAAGCCAGGCAGCTAATAATGTTAATGTACTGGGCTGGGATCATAGTATTGTGAGAAGCCAGCATACTGTGTCCACATGATTGAACCTTTGCTACCAAAGATTAACCTTAAAGAGCTCACTAAAACATGTTTTCCATCTAGATTCTGCAAAATTATTATTTGAACAAAGAGTAATTTGTACACAACACTGAGGTTACAGCTTGCAGATAAGGCAGGATACCTTAAAGACTCAAGTTTTAATATACCTTAGGATAAGGTACACTTATTCTTCAATACGTGACTAGCCAGTTGACTAACTGGCTAATCATTCATAACTGGGATAAATGTTGTGGAACCTTGCTACACCATATATCCCTCATGATTTGCATTATATCTCATTATGTTTGCCAAGTTTGCTAACAATGTTCAACTATTGGCATAAAATAATTATAACATTTTGGTTATGACATTAATTACTTGAAGTAAGAAACACTGCACCATTCTGAGACACAAAAGGTGTTAAGTTAGTTGAAAATAAAGAATATCACACATTTTTACAGTGATCATGGCAGTATCAACATATTGAGCCCCAGCTATGAACAATTATTTTGGGGAAACCTGCAGAATTCTTTAACATGGAATGATCACATCGCTTTCATTTTGCCTGCCCTGAGGCCCCAATCCATTCTCACAGATTTCACCAATATGCACCAAAACCAGCTCTGTAGTTTAACATCCTGCCTTGCATTACAGCCCCCACCCAAGTTGTGCCATCATGAGGCCCTGTCAAAATCCATCATGAATGACAGACTGGTGGCCTTATTTCTTTTTATATAAAACCCTGTATGTCTTATTTTGAGGCCATACAATATACTTTGTCTTAAATATTAGGATAAAGAGAGTCTTCCAGTACAACTGTCCCTTCTGGTACAAGTATAATTGGTTTTGCTTAATGAATTTCAAATGCCATAAAATTTTTGACTTCAGCACATCATTTACTTTCTCTCTAGATCTGCACATTACAGATGGTGGTAGACAACTGAAGCCTGAGACCTCATTTCCAATGCTATGACCCAGGCTAAGAGCCAGGTAATCGTCCCAGCAGAGTACAACACCACTGCCTGGCACAAAAGCACAGTATTAAACAGTATTCTACGACAATCTTCACAATTTAGCACGGAGATGCATATTGATCTCCGCTTAAAAAGCTTTAAGACAGTTATGACGAAGCTGCGACAGATCGAAGAAAAGGTCCCGGAATGAAATCTGCCAATATCATTCGTCAAAATTACTCTTATAGCCAAGCAAATCATGACACTGAAAGGCAGCAGCTATCAAGTACATTTGCATGCCACAGGACCCTTTTCTAAAGCTTACTGTTAGCTTGACGACCGGGTCCCGCACTGCACTTCTCAGCCGGTCATGGGGTCTCCGGTGAAAAGAACGAATAATATCCTCCGCAAAGCTACTAGATTGCCAAACATACAACTACAACACATTTCGCTACGTTTACAGAAAATAATACGCCAAAACTTAAATTTCTAGCTGTTAAAGTGATTGAAGTTATAACATAAACCTTTTTAGAAAGCAATTCATCTTCACCTAAAATAACTGTTGGTGAACAGAGTGTTGTATAGGAGAAAGTAATGCTGAAGTAAACTGAATTAGGCCAAAACACGTACAGACTATACGTAGGGATGGACATTGATCCTATAAATTGACCCTCACTTTACTTAGTTGTGAATTTTAATCGTGTTATTTTATTTCTGAACGTTGTTGTATTGTATCATGTGAAAATGCTGTGGAAATCCCAGCGAGGACCGCAGTGAAAGGACTGGCATGATCCTTTCGTGGCGCGATAATCGGGTTGCTTGGGTCTAACTCTAGAGCCCAATAACAGCGCGGAAGTTCTGGCAATGCTTGAGTTCTGGATCCAATCAGGGGTGGGACTTTGCTCTCTTTGGTGGGTCATGGTCCCCCAATGTTGAGCTGGATCCACAATGTTGGGCTGGGCCCCCCAATGCTGGACTGTTCCCTCGCAATATATGGTTGGTCCACTGCTCTGATATATTTCGCTTGTCCTTCACAGTATGCAACGTGGCTCCCGGTATATCAGTCCTTTGAAGTAAAGGTAATGATAGATTTTGTAGAGAATCACAATTTAGTATAAAAGAAAGACACTATAACATGATATATACGTATGTATATATATATATATATATATATGCATATATAGATATAAATATAGATAAATGAATGTATATATATATATATATTTACATATATATATATATATATATATATATATATATATATAACTTACTGTAATGATTTAGATACTGCAAAATTCACAGAAAGTTGCAGTTTGTAAGCCGCTAACTTCACGGAAAATGTTCGTGCGTTATTGGGACTTAACGTGCTTCTGAGACTACGTAGCAACGCCTATCTGTCATCCTGGCAGAGAGGGCGGACAACTCTGGGAATCAATCTCCACCATGAATGGCTTAACGTAAAAGCATTGACTTGTGCACATTGTCTAACCCGTAATGCCACTCGAGTGACATGTCATGCGCGAATATTTAGGTGGTGGTGGTGGTAACAAAAAGCGGTGAAACTGCTAAAATTCGTAGACTTGACGCGCTACTCTTTCTTGGAGCAAAACATACGAGCAGTTCCCTAACATACAGCTGACATGCTTTAGTGTGTTACCATGAAAATATTCAAATCTTGTACTGCATGTTTTGAGCGTCTTGAAGGAGTTCACTAGTTTCTCGCATTCATATTGAGAAATATAACACAAACGATAAATAAACAATATGAGTTGTAGATGTTCAAAACTAGAATATTAGGTACAATGCGTACCAGGCACGTTAAGTTGTCTTGTATGTGAACTATAGGCTAGTTGTAGCACAAAAAAGTAAAAGCTTGCAAAGGAGTATATATTGTTATGTGTAGTATACATAACACACAATACGCAATACGTGCGTATTTCGGACACAGTTGCCTACGCATTTTCATATTGTTTTTAGCCTGTACAGCATCACGGACTCATGACGCGATGGCGTAATCTCGGTTTCTCGTGATGCTGCTACTGTTAATCCGTTCTGAAATTCTACCTTGAAATTGCATAGATGAGTCGTCCTGGTTAGGAGCTGAAGGGCCTTTTCGCCCCAGCTCGAATTAACAAGCAACTGGTATTCTGGCGATACGGAGACCGGGGTGCCCTGATCAACCTGGAGGCGCTCATAGAGATACATCATGCACCGGTCCCATCCCTGATGCGGCAGGTCCTTCTGATCTGGGCACCTGATACAGGATCGGCACATGGACATGTCACTGACGTAAAAGGACCCCTTACCGGCACAGGGAGTCCAGTGTGCAATGGGCGCCGAGCCACCAATTCCGCTTGCTAGCTCCTGGCTCCTGGTTGAAAGGGTGCGGAGGGCCCCTCGCTCGGTCACGCGACATCTGTCTGGCGCAGGTTACTGTCTCACTGTGAGTACAAATCGCTGCATCACCATTTCTCATGTCTCCTGTCATTGTCAAGAGGGTCCTGACCAACGCATGAGGCTTTTTGACATTCGAGATCCCACTCCTGTCCCTCTTCAGTAGAGGCGCCCATGGTCGACATTGGGCTCATTCCCAACACAACACAACACCCTTGCTGGGCATTGTGGGCCACTGATCAGCACAGGGGCCAGACCAATGCACGATCTTCCGGATCAACATTTGCTGGCCAAGCCCTGCTTCGACTTAGGAAAGAGGCTTCAAGGGGCAAGACCGGCGTGGGGACGGATTGTTCTGTATTGCCTACTGGCTGAGGTCCCTTCATCCTCCCGGCCTGCCCTTCGGACCCTTCGATCGGAACCTTGATCGTCGTTCCCTCTGGCCCAAATGGCTGCTCGGAACTTCGGGGCCTAGAAACCTAAGGCAACCAGGTGTAGCGCGTGTCACTGTCAACCGAGGGTGGCGTCCTCGGCTCCTCGTGAAAATAAAAAAGAGAGGTCGCTGTTGTGTCCTCTGGAGTTTGACGCCCCTCGGACTTTAAGCGCTTGGAGGCATTCGTGGCGTCACCCTAGAAATAAGTGCCGTTTCAAAATAGAGATCATGATGCCCGAAATAAAGGACATCGGGTCCTCTTCGACGAGAGGTCCTACTTAGGATTTGGTTATGGTGGAAGGCACAGAAGTTGTTTTGGTGCGCTTTGAAAGCAGAGATGTTGGGGTTGTTGAAATGACACATTTGGATCTGGTGCCTGCTAAAAACAAAGGTTATGGTGCCTCAAAAAAGGTTGTGGTGACCCATCGCCGAAGAGACCGATGGTGGATGTTGTCCATGGGGAGGTGCAAACATCGGGGTGCCCCTGAACTTTGTTGCTTCTTTGAAAAAATGGTATGGGATCTATTGCAGTGTCTCCTGGAATCGAGGGCCTGCTTACATACTAGTTGTGATGTTTCGCAATAATGGTTTTGTGGTGCCTCTTTGCGAAAGGGGTTGATGCAGAATTTGATCAGGATGGAAAGCAAAGAAATCATGATGTCCCTTAAAATTAAGGTTTTGGGATCCGTTCAATGCCCCCTTGGACTAATTCACTGTAGTAAATAAATGTTTTGGTGATAAGAAATGACGGAAAGTGAAAACTGCTGCAGAAAACAAAATTATATGTTTAGTAAGTATGCTCTTCAATGCATCGTGGTTAGCTTACGTGATCAATAGCTTACCTTGCACAACATTAATTGACAGCGAATTGGCGGTCGTTTTATCTGGAAAGCGCTTACAAACGTCATATATGAACGCCTAGCCAGTTATTTTGGGCCGTGATCACCACACTGCTTACAGAATGACAGGATTTGAATGAAGTTATTATGACGTCATGAATGTCAAGGCGAGTTTAAAAAGACCCCCCACCCCCCACCCCGATATACCTTCCCCATTTTCGCGGGCGTTTAACTCAGAAACCAGAGGGGTTTAAGTCTTAAGTAGTATGGGATTGTTAGCAGCATTAAAAGGTCTTCAAAATGGCTTTTTTCAATTTAAAACCACATCTAAATGTGGACGACCTCCTTTAAAGCAAAAGCCCAGGGCTCGGTGAGCGCGCACCACGCCGTTTTTTAATGTTCTATCGGAAGCCACCTATCGTGAACAACAAAAATCGGGATAACAGGACAAAAAACGGCCCCTAGTGTTGCAGTTTCCCAAAGCTGCACGGCGTCGGCTATTGGCCAACACTAGGCGGTGGCCAACGGATGGACGAAAACGACTACCCATCTGAAAAAGCACCTTTGAACGTTTTAGGACATCAGTCAGTACGTTCAGAAGGCCCTACGGACAAATATTTCACCTGCACAATATTTAGATTGACAAGAGCAACGAATTTGAATTTCCAGCACAGAGAAATGGTGCTGTAATCTGGGGGTAGGACTGGAAAAGTACGGGCAAAATTTCAACGTTTCGTGTTGATGTAGCCATTAAGCTGTTCGGTGGTCAACCTAAGAAATATATAGGTGAAGCACGTGTCCAAGCTTATCTTTGTACTATGCAGATTAATTTTGAAAGGTTTTTGAAATGATTATTTCGCCACAATCGCTCTCACGCACCCGGCCCGCGACGCCTGGTGTTATCTGCAGTGAACAACGCCGCTCGATTTGATGAAAACCGCACCCCGGTGCCCATCGGTGTTCTTGCTGTTAAGACAGCGAGCGCAGGCTTAAAACTTGTTTGTGTAAGTTACTTCACTATTCGGTTATGCGAGAAGGCCGACGTCCTTGGGCAAACGTGGGTTGGCCTTTTCATTTTGGTCTCGTTTCGGTTCACTAGATTGAGCACGAACGAGATCCCCCCTTTTCCGGGAAAGGAGAAGGTTTTTATTAGTTTGAGCGACGCTCTATTGTCATTCTCGTCTCAGTGATATACACTCTGGTGTTTTAGGACATTGAAAAATGGATCCAAATTTGATGACTTTGTTTTCCAAAAATGTTGTCTTCAGATTCATGAGTTTTAATTGTGCACGTTCTTGAATCCGAAGTTACAACTTTGCAGATATCAATTCCTTTCATTCGGCACCCCATGTTTGTGCAATGTGCAATGTGAGAACCAGATGAAGTGTATAAACTGCTTTGAATACGGTCAAAATCCTAGAATATTTTGGTACCGTTACGTGGTTACTGTAGGCTGTCGATCACCTCACGGTGATTTTGATCCACTTGCCTCTTGGCTCAGACGCTTTCCATTTGAGAACGGAGCTGTGAGCTGGATGGTGAGGAACTGTGGTGGCGAATCCGTGGCTTGTGCCGGTCATGGAGCTTCCTCCACAGGGGCGTAGTTTCGCAAAACAGGTTTGAGCGCTGAACGGCGAAATCAAAACCGGCCCAAAAATATAGTAAAAAACTGTCTTTCTCCCGGATTTGACCTGTTTGGCCCTCAAAATTAGAGAGCTAGA